ACAATATCCACAAAAAAGTGTATACTTTTTGAGTTATTCGGAATTTAATTTTACCATACCTCGTAACTTTTTTTCCAGCTTCTTTTCGTTGAATTATGTTATATAGATAAATTTAAAGGGTGTTGAGAAAATGACTTTAGCGAAGTTTCATTGAAATCGGTACATTCGTTTAGGCGCTGCAGTCCATAGCAACGCAGGTTTTTCTGCATTTTTATTTTGTTTTCCCCTTCATTAACTTATCAAGTACAGTAAATATAGTAACTTATTCATTACTATATTTAAAAGTTATATGTAGCATTTTTTTCGTAACTCTTAATAATGCGAAATGATTAACTTTTTAAAATAAACCACATTAAAGGTATTTGAGAGGAAGACATTTATCAACATTGGGCATTTAAGCCCTGTAAAGTGACATCAACGGGGATAAGACCTAACTGATATTAAATACCACTTAATTATACAATGATAAACCGAGTTTAATCAAAATCGTAGAGCCGTTTTTTTGAAAATGTGTTTCAGCGTTGATATAAAGTGGCACTTCCGGTTAGCCGATTTCAAGGAAAAAGTTGCCGTCACATCTAAGGCATATATCTATCTTAAATACTTAATATCAGTTTCGTAGGAATTTTCATTTTTGAGCTAGACTGCTAACATACTAACACACAGACCGTTTTTCGGGACTGGTCATTTCAACTCAAGGTGCCTCCAAACGTATATTTCCGTTGAAAACTCAAGATTCAAAAATTTTCTCAGTAATTTGACCTGGTCACAATACTTTCCTTACCCAGTACAGATAGAAAAGTAAAAAAGAAATACGGTCTATAGTAAGGGATACAATATCTCATGGGAGGAGTTCTAGAAAATTTTAAATAAATTAAAAATCCTTCCTTAAAACAAACCTGTCAGTTAGTTCCTCAGATTTAAATAAAAACCCTGGGAGAGGAATCGTTATAAACAAAAAGAAACTTTGAGTGTGGGCACAGGCCGATCTACAGGGTGGGAGAGTTCTTTTGGAATAACCTCAACCTCTACCCCCCTCCCAAAAAAAAATATAACTTATGAAAATTGTGTGTGGAACTATTGACAACGAATTTTCGTTTTGTTTTTTATAGACAATTATTATTCATTACAAGTTATAGGTTTATTATTCATGAAAATGTTATGAAATTCTGAAAGCGTATTTTGCACCAGTAAAAGAAATCCAAGGTTTTTTTTTTTATATAATTAAAGAAATCCAAAATAAATTCTCAGCTTTAAACAACGAAATGTCAAACTACAGATGAATGAATCAAAATTTCAAACTTATCTCCTAAAGAAAAGTGATAAGACAACATCCCTGAAACAGAGATCCTGCTCTTTTTTTTTTTCCTCGCCTTTTAGGCTATACGGGATTTTCCCGGGCCGGGGGGTGAGGGCGGGGAAATTTAAAATCCCCTCCGGCACCGGGACGCGAACTCGTACTTTTTATATCATCTCAAATCTCTGTTATCCGGTTGCCAGGCAACTAGCGGTGCTGTTACACACGCTTTAGCCTATTCGGCCACCCCGCCCCCAAAGATCCTGCTCTATTAAAAAATCAATCAATCGACTGTTGTGAGATGATAGCACTCACGGGCGGATCTACGGGGGGGGGGGGCCTTTCGGGCTAAAGCCCCCTCCCCAAAATGGTAAAATATAGCCATATTTTATCGAAAAAAATATTAAAAAAGTATCTCTTAACGAATTATTGTTTGTGTAACTACATTTAAAGGGGCTTTAGGAATCACTTAAACACCATTTCATACAGGTAGTTTGTTTCTTTCATCTTTTCCAAAGTAATTATCGTTATTTTTATGAAAAAAAACCGCTTTCGGGCTGAAGCCCCCCTCAAAATTAAATCCTGGATCCGCTAGTGATAGCACTTGAGTAACTTATTTAATGAAGCATCATTCTCTAAAGTGTTCTATTTGATATCTAGTCCTGTCGATGAATGGCCCAAAAGAGTATTAGAGTACGTGAGCAGGGTCTCAAGCGATTTGTTCCGAGTGCTTATAGGATATGAATATATCAAATATCCTGACGTATAAGTGGTGAGCCAGGGGAGGAAAGATGAATTTTATGATTTTAGCTTATATCTCGAAAACTTCTTACATGTATTCTAATAGGAAATTTAAGTCTCTACACAACTTATTTCCTATATCAATAGCTTTGATGGCATGAAGGAATGTTTGATGAAAATGTGAGGCAAAATGATTTCTTTCGAATATGTCAACTTTTTTCGAACGGTTTAGAATTCGGATATAACTTACAGAATAAAAGTTTTAGATAATTTAATAAACTTTAATTTATCATACGAAAATTTTTCCTGCGATGAAGTTTTTGAGATATAAGCGAAAATCCAAACATTGTGACCTGTTCTCCCCCCCCCCCTCGGCACACCACCTAGACGTCAAGACTGGAGGCAGGGCCCAATAATCGACCTGATTGCAGGCGAAGGTTTGATTGTAAATTACGAATGTGCATGTTATTCTGGATAAAAAGAACCTTGTCTGCAGTTCCAGAGCCGCTGCTTTCAAAAATGGAGGCTGATTTAAAGAATAATAGGCCAATAATTTGAAAATCGAAACGGAAAATCCATTGCGAAAAATGTGAGGACAACTTTTTACAGCAAAAAAAGACAGATTTTTCGATTTTTTTTTTCACCTATAACTCCTAAATGATCAAAGCGAAAAAAATATATTCTTTAATAAACTAAAGAACGTTAAATTTTGCGTCAAACAAGTACATAAATTTTATAATTTGGTCACGAGGTAAGGTATAAAACCACGGACTTGTGTAATGAGTAACTTGGAAATCAGTTACCTTACAGGAAAAACCCAAAGAATCAAAGTTGTAGAGCATCAAATTTTGCGTCCAGTGAGTACTGACATTTATATTGTAGGCCAATTATATATCTCCAATGGGGATTCGTTATTCCTTTATAAAATTCTACATTTTTCGACACATCGTTTACAAAAATCCTTTGCTGGTAAGAGGAGAAAAAGAGATTTATACTGCATGTAATAGACTCTAAGTAAAAATAACTCAGTAGAATAGACAGCCATACTGTTGAAATATTGAAAATCACGTTTACCTTCATTACCAATTTCTAACCATTGGGAGATTACCGATTTTGTTCGCAGTAAATGACCTACATTAAATTAGTTGGCGCAAAATTTGATGGTCTACAACTTTTATTATATGGGTTTTTCCTCTTAGGAAACTCATTTCCAAGTCACAGTTTAATTTATAGTAATTTGTCTCAGTTTTTGACAAATTTGGTAAAAATCAGCGTTGGTTTACCGTGGTTTTATGCCTTATTACGTTACCAAATTATAAAGTTTATGTACTCGTTTCACGCAAAATTTAACACTATTTAATTTATTAAAGAGTACATTTGTCACTTTGATGCATCATTTAGGAGTGAAAAAAATATCGAAAAATCTGTCTTTTTTGGCTGTAAAAAGTTTTCCTTTGGTGGCCCGCGTTAGCAATTTTGTTTTTTACATGTCTAAACCCATATATACAAGTTAAAAAAAAAAAAATTTCTCACATTTTTCGCAATGCATTTTCCGTTTCGATCTCTAATTATTGGCATAATATTCCAAGAATAGATCTCACTTGTATTTACTTCTTCCTTTTGTAATGAACAAGATTTTTGCTACACACAGAATTATCTGCCTTCCTCATATTCTATTTTGAATACTGAATTTAATTTGAACAATATAGTAAAATAAAAATTAAAAGTAAAATAAATATTAACACACTCACTTATACATTTGTATTAATAAATCGTCTAATTTAGCAAAATTTAACACTATTTAATTTATTAAAGAGTATATTTTTCGCTTTGATGCATCATTTAGGAGTTATCTGTAAAAAAAAATTAAAAATATCGACAAATTTGAAATTGTTCGCTGTAAAAAGTTTTCCCTTGGTGGCCAGTGCTAGAAATTTTGATTTTTACACGTCTAAACCCATATATACAAGTTAAACAACTTTTTTCCCGTCTCGATCCTCAAATTACTGCCCTAATATTAATTAAATCAGCCGACATTTTTTTAAAGCAGCGGCTCTGGAATGGCAGACAAGGTTCTTTTTGCTCAGAATAACACACAATTTCGTAATTTACAATCAAACTTTCGAATAGGTCGATTTCTGGGTCCATACTCCAGAGCTATCACGTTGATAAGCGGCTTAAATCATACTTCGTATTTAACTATGGCATGGCGTAAGACTAGAGTTTCCACAGGTTATACAGCTTAAAATTCTATTGAGGCTCATCACGGACAAAGTAATGCAATGAAATAACTTTTCCATACACGCTATGTTAATAATATTTAGGGTTTCTTTATGAAACAAACACAGACAACACAGAAACGTTTAATGTGCAAGAACACTACAAACATAGAAGCCATATCGAGGGAGTATACATTGTTGTGATCACTGACGTCACATATGACAGTGTGGTAGGTAGAATATACAATAACAAATAGCATCAATTAATTAATCCTAACACGCGACTATACGCAAATAGCATTAAATATAACTTATTATATTATATACAAGTTTAAAAAAATAAAAACGTCTCTCACATTTTTCGCAATGGATTTCCCGTTTCGATTCTCAAATTATTGGCCCAATATTCTTTAAATCAGCCGCCATTTTTTTAAGCAGCGGCTCTGGAACTGCAGACAAGGTTCTTTTTACTCAGAATAACATACACTTTCGTAATTTACAATTAAACCTTCCCCTGCGATCAGGTCCTTTTTTGGGTCCTGGCTCCAGGACTAATTGATATGTTATTACCTTAAGCACCCTGAAAAAGTTTCTGAAGGAATCGCTTAGGTCCCTGCTTACGCACTCTATGCTTCCTTGAACTGGATTAATCTAGTATTTGCACTCTCTTTTAGACGTATAAAGCTTATTGCCTGATAATGAGTTGAATAATGTCTATTACTTGCACATTTACCTAAATAACTTTTAAAATTAAATACGGTAATTTAATTACCAGCTGATCGTTATCAAATCGTTTTCCTTTAAATTCAAAATTATGTTTAAGTATATAGTCTTAAATTAGTTTCGGTGATATCTTGGCAAAATTAAAAGTGTAAAATTATATTAAATTAAAAAAAGAAAACAAAATGTCTGTCAAACTTCACAATGAATATCTGATGCCATCATTAGCGTTAGGAACCTATAGTGTGAGTTGTGTATCGAATTTATATAAAACTTAAATATTAATTCCTATGATACAACTCAAAGTTGACAATTTTTATAGAACAGACCCGAGGAACCGTGGACAGATATGATTAAATATGCCTTTAATATCGGTTACCGACATATTGACAGTTCTCCTCTACATCGCAACGAGAAGATAATCGGAGAGGCCATTGCTGAAATAATATTGGATGGTGAAATCGATAGAGAAGATATATTTGTCACAAGTAAGGTATAATAGCATTTAGTATTCATTCACGAAATTATGATAATTATTTCAGCCTCACGTTAATTTGTAGCTTTGGAATAATAAGCATGAAAAAGAGGCTGTTGTTCCTGCCCTTAAGAAAACGCTTGCCAATTTAGGTTTGCAATATGTCGATTTATACATGATACAATGGCCATTTTCTGTACCAGTGAGTCATTTTTTAATTTGTATATATAGATGAAATATTGATGTGAAAACTTAATCAATCTTATTCTGTAGGACATTCCTGGCGAATTCTTCCCGAGAGGTAAAAATAATAAAGTTTTGACTACTGAAACAGATTTTAAAAGCACTTGGAAAGGAATGGAAGAATGTGTTGAAAAAGGACTAGCGAAATCTATTGGACTTTGCAATTTTAATATTCGTCAAATAAGAGAAATTAATTTCAGTACAAGAATCAGGCCAACTGTTGTTCAAGTATACTGATTGAAGTTCTGTTATAATAGATGTATTATGTTGAAGTTATAATTAATGCTATTTGCGTATAGTCGCGAGTTAGGATTAATTAATTGATGCTATTTGTTATTGTGTATTCTACTTACCACACTGTTACTGGCAACACTGTCATATGTGACGTCAGTGATCACAACAATGTATACTCCCTCGATATGGCTTCTATGTTTGTAGTGTTCTTGCACATTAAACGTTTCTGTGTTGTCTGTGTTTGTTTCATAAAGAAACCCTAAATATTATTAACATAGCGTGTATGGAAAAGTTATTTCATTGCATTACTTTGTCCGTGATGAGCCTCAATAGAATTTTAAGCTGTATAACCTGTGGAAACTCTAGTCTTACACCATGTTATAGTTAAATACGAAATGTGATTTAAGCCGCTTATCAACGTAATAGCTCTGGAGTATGGACCCAGAAATCGACCTATTCGAAAGGTTGATTGTAAATTACGAAATTGTGTGTTATTCTGAGCAAAAAGAACCTTGTCTGCCATTCCAGAGCCGCTGCTTTAAAAAATGTCGGCTGATTTAATTAATATTAGGCCAGTAATTTGAGGATCGAGACGGGAAATCCATCGCGAAAAATGTGAAAAAAGTTTTTTAACTTGTATATATGGGTTTTGACATGCAATATACAAAATTTATAACGCGGGCCACCAAGGAAAAAAAAAGTCAGATTTTTTTGATATTTTTTTGTTTTTTCACCTATAACTCTTAAACGATTCATCAAAGCGAAAAAATATAATATAATAAATTAAAGAACGTTAAATATTGCGCCAAACAAGTACATAAACTTTATAATTTCGTTACCTGGTAAGTTATAAAGCCACGATCAACAAACGCTAATTTTTACCAAATTTGTCCAAAACTGAGAAAAATTACTATAAATGGTCCTGTAACTTGGAAATGAGTTCCTTAATAGGAAAACCCCATAGAATCAAAGTTGTAGTGCATCAAATCTTTCGTCCATTGATAATTTTCAACTTGTATTCTATTTGTGCTAAAGGTGACATTTTGTAGTCTGCAACTGATATAAGTGGTCTGCTACTATGAAAATAGCAAATGACAATAAAATAAGAAATTATACTAATAAAGCATAAAGAAATAATGAGTTTTTATGCACTCTTGGAAAACAATCAATTTTTACATTGGACCTTTTGCACTAACAGTAGAGAAATGCATCTGCAGTGTGCAATATTTTTTATTAATTAAGGATGATCAAATATGTAATCTTCAAATACGGCACTCTTTCGCATTTTAATATTAGTTAATAAACGAAATTCGTGGATATAAAACCCGCGAATGTTGAAGGGTAACTGTATTTCCGCATCGGTTTCTCCCAGAGATTTTATTTTCTTACGAAAAATAGTATATCTTGTAATATTTTAATATTTTAGCCTATGAAAACGGTGAGGAAGCTATACTGATCTTACTTGGCAGTTTTTTTTTTTTGTTTTTTTTTGTTATCGAAATAATAAAATTAGTAATCATTGCATGTAATTGAAAGGATGTTAAGTAAATTATTATTCTAGATAAAAGTATTCTTGATATCTTTAATTTAACAACTTTCTGAAGTTATGTAGAGGAAGAAGGCCTCATATCCGTCCCCAAGGTTATTTCTTAAACTGCCTTTTATAATGCACTTTTTATGAACATACATTAAGTTATTTGGTAAAACGGTGTTTGTATTTTAAAAAAGATAAATATTATTGCAGGTAGAATGTCATCCTTATTTATCACAGGTGGAATTGATAAACTACTGTAGATCGTTGGAGATAATAGTAACTGCTTATATGCCTCAAGGGAAAAAACTTCCTCCTATGAAAGGTCGTTCTCTCCTAAACGATCCGGTTTTAAATACTCTTGCTCGAAAATACAACAAAACCCCTTCTCAAATTGCTCTACGATATCAGGTAACATTAATTTTTATCTGCTATCTGCCTCTCCAAGATCGATGGGCTTTCCTTTCCAAGAAATTGTATTACTCATTTCTTCTTAGAAACGTGCAAGCAAAAGTAGAATTGAAAAAAATCATAGACCATAATCAATTAAACTTATTATTATTTTATTTTATTTATTTTCCACCCTCCCATGCCACCAGGGTAATACGGGTTTATGCAGTAGTGTGATGTTAAGCATTGATGCATAATAACACACTACTGCCATAATATCAGTTAACAAAATTCAAAACTGTGCACACAACTAGATTTTCCTCTTTCTACAGCAAATTAGGCCCGATTTCCCGAATCCGGGGGTCTTTCTGGGACTGGTCCTCTTCTCCTTCTACGGGGCCGTAGGTTGAAGTGAGCTGGACCCGCCGCCGTCTTCCAGCCATTTATGTACTTTTGCAACCGCAGGAAGTTTTCCTAACTCACTAACTGAGAAAACTCCTCCTCAATGAGGAAGTAAATTCCCGTGGTTCTCATTAACCTAGCTCTTAATATGTTGAAAGCAGTGCAGGCCGTGACCACATGCTCAACAGTCTCCGGAACACCACAAGCGGGGCAGTGGAGATCTATATACTGTCCGAGGCCATGAAGTTTAGATCTGAAACCCCCATGCGCCGTGAGAAGTTGTAAAACCCAATAGTCCGGAAGGACCCATTTCGCCTGTAACCGAGATTCAACGGTGGGAAGGTATTTTCTTAAGGTACTGCCTTTCGGAGTCGTCATCCACCGTCTGCTCTAATCTTCAATTGTTTCCTCCCGAATAATCTTTTCCATTTATTTGGGTTTTCAATCAATTAATTAAACTTGCTGTAGTCTGCTCCATGCCTTTTCATTTAAAAAATTCACAATCCCTAGAAAATTTTTCCACTCAAACATCCAAAACCGAGTAAAAATGTGCGTCCCCTCAAATATTTTGATGGCGCCATCAAATCCCCTTCTGGGCACCCCTGATTTCAATATGAAATACAAGTAGAAAAGACCCCATACGTATAGTAACATAAATGTAATGTTTATCTTACTATGATTTTTAAAAACACGATCCTCAAAGTTATAAAATAGTCATAGTACAAGCAATGTAAGGAAGAGCATATTGTTATATTTGACCGTAGCTGACTGACTAAAAATTTTAGAGTATAGATTTTTAAAAGAACGTTATTTTAAAATCCAAGGGCCGAGACTAATATGGTGTATCTGTCATTCACAACGGACGTGGGTTTACCGTTTTGGATGGATTTTTATTTTTGTGATACTTAGTCGTAAAATATTAAGCCCATGTCCGATATATGCCCTAACAGCCGAGAAAAAAAAACCCTACTTCTGAAAAGACTAGTTAGAGCAAATAATGCTCTATTTCCTGCAACTAATCTTGCTCTTAGCTCCTCATCTTCATTTATGAGAGACCCTGAAATAGTTGGCCATTTCTAAGATACAGTCACTGAAAACACATGTACTTTGTGGGTGCACGAGTTTCTTGCTCCTTAATGTCATTACTTTGGTTTTATCCTCATTTACCCCGAGACCCACACGCCGAGCTTCATCAGCAAGCTTAGTAAACTCGCTTCTTACACTAATCAGGGGTCTTTCAGTAATCATCACATCTTCTGCATATGCCAGTATCTGTGTGATCTTGGTGAAGAAGGTTTCTCCTGGATCTAGCTCAGATCGGTTCACAATACCTTGAAGGACAATATCAAATAAAAGGGGAGCCAATGGGTACCCTTGAATCAATCCACTAGGAATCAATTCATCTTCCCAAATTTTTGTTATCAATTTTTCGTCTTGCCGCAGCAATCTCTTTATTAGTTTGCTCTTTTGAAAAAATCCACTGGAAGACCATATATTCCAGGTGTCTTATGGTTTACTTACATAATATACTCTTTATCAGGCGGTACATCTTCGTCACATGTTCTACCTCCTCAGCCTGTTCACGATTTAAGATATTCTGAAAATGCTTATTCCATTGATCTCGTACTTCTTCTCCCGTGAATAAAACCTCTCTTTTACCATCCTTAACCAATGTACTTTGGTTAATAAGCCCGTTCTTCCTGTTTATTTTCCTTGTTTCGTTATTTTTCCCGGAAGATTCAAGTTCTTCTACTTCTTTTAGCAAGGCTCTTCGCTTCTTCATTCTCACAACTTTCTTGGCCTTGGCTCTTGCATCTCTATATTCTTTGTGGCGTTGGCGGGTACTCCTTTTTAGAAACTGCAACCTTCTCATGTTCCTCTCCTTAAAAGTTAACTCACATTCTGCGTCAAATCAGACATTGTGCCTTCTTTCTGTGCAGATTTCTTTCGCTGCGTTGGAAATAGCTAATAACGAGTTAATTTACCTTTAGCTAGTATTTCATACCTTTCTCTTCAATTCTTAGCAGATCAAGACTCCCTTTCTGCACTTTTTCTATTCCACCCCTTAGTTTTACCTCTGTCCTTCAACTTCATCACGATGTATTGATCAGAATATATATCTAATCCTCTACATGACCGAACATCATTAACACTTTTGAAATATAGATTAGATATGAGAATATTATCGATCTGGTTGTTAATAATTAATACTAAACAGGAGGTTGTTATTGGAAAAAGTAGTGAGAGAAACAGGTATCCAGCATAATGGCACCATATTCAATAGATCGGTCCAACTGCTCGATTATGCGGATGACCTTGATATAGTGGCACGATTCTCTACTGCGCTTAGTGAGTCTTTCTTAAGCGTACAAAGAGCTGCCGCACGCATAGAACCGGATATTAATGAAAACAAAATAAAATATATGTACACCGGAGGGAGGAACCAGACTTCAAGAAAGACAGGTTGTCGTAGGAAGCTGTACCTTAGAGTGAGTGGGGGAGTTTATTTACCTTGGATCTCTGGTTACAGCAACAAATAATGTTTTCATTGAAATAAAGCGAAGGACCACAGCGGCTAACCGATGTTATTTTGGTCTGTTGAAACAGATCCGGAGCAAGCCCATTAGCAAGAAAACAAACCATTTATATAAAACTCTGATCAGGCCTGTCCTAAGATAAGCCTCCCAGACATGGACACTATCCACACAGGATAGAAATAATCTACTGGTCTTCGAGAGTAAGACCCTTCGAAGAATCTATGGGCCGGTAAGGAATGTGGAAGGCTGAAGAACAATAAGAAATAAGGAACTCTATGAGCTGCTCCATGATATAGATGTTGTGACCTTTATTAGACTGGAACGCCTTGGGTGGGCAGGGCATGTTGCACGGATGAGATGTGACGAAATGCTTAAAAGAGACATGAAAGAAGAAATTCGTTGTCCAAGAAGAGTCGGACGGCCCAAGCTCCTGTGAATGGATGGCGTGGTACAAGACGCACGATCTGCATGGAGTCTGAAATTGGAAGGCAGCAGTCCAAAAACTAGCCGAATGGTGGAGGCTCCATCACAGGGTTGTAGCGCCATCTGATAGATAGATAGATAGATAGGTAAACACCAGGTATGCTTGTGAACGGTTTTATGAGGACGTTTTGGTAAGGTTTCGGGCTACAGAATAGTTTACTAGCCTTTCAACATTATTATCATTTGATGGGTTGTGCAGACTGTGATCGCCAATAGTGGTTTTAAATTCCACTTCCCTTCTGTGCATTGAAGTCTCCAAGTACTATCTTCATGTATGCTATCATAGGCATATCCTGATAGTAGGCATCCTTTGATTGTGGTTCCTTCTCCTCTGTTGGCGCATATGTGTTCAAAATGAAGACATTGCAAAATTGTCATTTGACTCTTGGGAAACTTACTCGGGGACTGATATCCCAGAAGTCGTGCATTGCTTGTTCAAGCTGACTAGAAATTAGGAATGCTGTTCCAAAGATTTTTTCCACTTCTACTATATAGTATACTGTAGTCATACTTCTTAATTCTTCCTGTAGCCAACCAAATTTGAGAGTTTTTAGAGGGGCCAAAAGTGAATATCAAGATTGCTTATCCCCAGAAGATATATTTCATGGTATAGTTTGCGTATACTATGTGCAATAAATGCTTTATTCTTATTTTTGTTTGGAATCCCCACAAAATAGCAGATTTTGCACATTTAATCTGAATTTCGATACCTTTCTGAATTTTTAAATATATATATATTTGGCATAAAGCTGTAGTATGGCTACCATCTTGCAACAATTATTACTGACCATAAGGAGTAAGGTGGATTAAAATATTTTTTGTAAGAAGAAAAAAAGTTGAGATTTGTATTTCGCACCTAAAAAAACCATATTGAAGGAAGCTAGTTGACTGTTCTACATATCATGGATGATAAATATTCAGGACAGTCTTTTTTAAAAACAATGCGTTCTGAATATATATCACCCATAAAAAAAAAACCTTACATAATAGTTTTCATACCAATCTAAAAAAAAATTTTTCTCAAGATTTCCGCCTAGCTTGAGCCTTCGATTTTTTTTTATTAATCATACTTCTTAAATATTCCTTCATAAATTTTATTTTTTACTTCAGGTAAATGGAACTTAATCAAGCTACATTTTTAATTCATTCTTTAATAAATTTAAAACATATTTATTTTCTAAACCTACAAAGGCACTTTTATTCAATGTATTCTTAATTTTATGTATTAATCATTTTAATAAACATAGTTTCTTTTTTTAAATAAAATTATTTGTTTGTTCTTTTTACTTATTATTATTATTTTTTTTTATTATTATTAAAACACTTTATTCAGAAATATTACAATTTGTCACAGTTTAAGGACACTTATAATAGAGTTCAGAGATTGCATTCATACCGTATATACAAAAATATAAATAAATAAAGTAATAACAAAAGAATAAGAAGAAAGAACAAAAGAGTAAAGAAAAAAAAAATATATATATATACACATAAGTAAATAAAAATAGAAATAAAAGTAAAACAAACACCTTATATAAAACATACGTTATTTACAATTTGCCAGGTGATCTCCGAACCAATCCTGTCCCCTCCACATGTGGAGGGAAAAGGGAGGCTTAGGAGATCCCTACGCTTCTCCCTCAGCCACTTCACTGGTATTTTAAACCAGCGGAGGATGAGTAAGAGCGCTACAGCCACAGACACTCATGACTTGAGTGGAGAATCTGGCCATTGCTAGAACTCCAAAATATCCATATTTACAAAAGGTCTCGTGGCCACTGCCGCTTTAACCTACGAAGGGGATTGTAGGGATGGGTGGTGCTTGATAGGGATTGTACAACGGGATTTGGGTGATGAGAAAGGTTCTGGTGAAATTTGGAAAATTTGGCTGGGATAAGATCAAGAATAAATGGGATATTAAGGTCATGGTGTAGGGTTTTATTGGTTACATAGAAGGGAGCATTGACTATTGTACGGAGGACTTTAGACTGAAAGGATTGAATGCGTTTGATGTTAGAAAATTTGGCTGTTCCCCATAGTTCTAGTCCGTAAGTCCAGATGGGTTTCAGTATTGTCTTGTAGATCAGTAATTTGTTTTCACCAGAAAGTTTAGATTTTCTATTCAGTAGTCTATATAGCTGGCCATATCGTCTGTTAAGTTCCTGTCTTTTAAGTCGAGTATGTGGATTCCATGTTAGTCGTCTGTCTAAGAGAAAGCCAAGATACCGGACTGTATCTGAGAAAGGAAGCTGGATGGAGTTAAAATAAACTGGTGGGCAGGTATTACGCCGAAGGGTGAAGGTAATGTGTTTACATTTAGATTCGTTTACCTTAATGAGCCATTTCTTACACCAGTGTTCAATCAGGAAGAGGTGCCTTTGTAAGTTTACGGACGCTGTTTCAGGATCTGAGTTGGAAGAAAGGATAGCAGTGCCATCAGCGAAAGTTGCCAGGAGGGTATCGGGATGGACAGGAATATCAGCGGTAAAGAGAATGTAAAGGATGGGGCCCAAGACGCTGCCTTGAGGAACGCCAGCCTCAATTGAGTAACAGTAGGAGAATTCGGTGCCACAGCGAACTCGGAAGGAGCGGTCGGAAAGATAGGATCGGAGTACTAGGTATAAGGACTGTGGTAGATGGATTTTAAGCTTGAAGAGTAATCCGGCGTGCCATACCCGGTCAAAAGCTTGCGCTATGTCCAGAAATGCACCCGAGCAATACTGCTTGCTTTCTAGGGTTGAGGATATATGGTCAACAACTCGGAGTCCTTGTTGGACAGTGGAATGTTGGGAACGAAATCCGAATTGATGAGTAGGAAGGTTATAGGATTCAATTATAGGTAGGATTCGTTTTAGTAGGATCTTTTCAAAAATTTTTGAGAGGATTGGGAGTAGGCTAATTGGTCTATAGGATGCTGTATTGTTGGAAGGTTTGCCTGGTTTCAAGAAGAGGACGATGGTGGAATGTTTCCATAAAAGAGGGAAGTGGGTAGTTCGTAGGATGCAATTGTATATATATGTAAGAAATATGATGGCTTTAGATGGAATTATTATTATTAAACATAAATTAAAAATATTTGTTAATAATAATAATAATAATAATAAGCTTTATTGACATCAATTATGGACAAAAGCCTCTCCCTAAGGAGGATTTTAACAGGGTTGGCTACAGCACAGACAAATATGTTTAAATTTTTTTTTTTTTTTTTTAACTGAACGTTGATCGTACATATTTGTTTACAATATCATTATATTTTAATGACATTTCACTTTCATGCTAGTTACTAAATATAATTGTAAAATATCATCTAACTTTATTATATGTATACAAATCTTTTTTTAGTTGGATAGAGGATTGGCTGTTATACCCAAATCTTCAAAAAAGGCAAGGTTGGAGGAAAATTTCAATGTTTTTGATTTTTCAATCAGTGAAAAAGATGTTCTGGTATTAGATTGTCTTAACAAGAACGAACGATATTTAGATTTAAAAGAGTAAGTATATGTTTAAAAAATTTGCTTTAATTTATAAACATCATGTGTTTGTGCAAGACTATTCCCATTTACTTTTTACCACCCATTTCCTACATTCCTTAATATTTCTTGTTAAGTTAGAAATCACATATTTTCATTTTAATAATCTTTAATATTTAATATTTCCATTGATCTCATCTAAAGTATGATTAGATAAGTGATAATTCTTAACAGTTAATTTGATCTCCTTTATTACATTTTATCTATTTATTATTATCATATACTTTATCTTTGTTAAATAGTTTCTTTATATTATTTACATTTAACCACATATCTGTCTTGTTTCGTACTGTTGCTCTTTGTTAATAATTATGGTTTATTATTACTTATTGTTTATTATTACTTATGGTTTAGCCTTACTCTTTGTTTTCAACTTTAAGGCTCCTGAATATGGAAAAAACGATGGAAGCCAATAAATATTGTTGCGGATATAGAAATTGCATCACCTATTTCTTTTGATTCTTGTGTTGATAATATTGATTCCATTGAATATACTAAATTTTAAAAAAATAGTATTTTTAATTGTTTCGCCGACATTTCGACCTTCCTTGTAGGTCTTCATCAGAGCTACAAAAGATACAAAATATAAAAGGTACATGATGAAAATAAAATATATGAATTATAAATAGATATTAAATAAGAAATAATTGTCTGATAAAGAAATAAAAACATGACATCACATATATAGTGGGTGATCATCATTACTTATTCTTTTTTCAATTTCTTTATTCATCAACACTCATTTTGTTTATCTGTTAATCTACAGTTATCAAATGTAATCTTTACCAGTTTCTTATACACTCATTTTTATCTTTTATCACAATCTGTTTAGTTTTAATTTACATGCTATATTCTCCTTTGTTTTCTATTTTTATTCATACTTATTTTTTTGTATTTTTGTTTGTATCTTATATTTATATATATATATATATATATAATATATATATATATATATATATATATATATATATATATATATATATATATATATAATACTTGATATTTTAACTACACTGTCACCCACAATATCTACTTATAATTCATTTATTTTATTTTCACCATGTACCTTTTAATATGTTGTATCTTTTGTAGCCCTTATGAAGACCTGCAAGGTGGGTCGAAATGTCGGCGAAACAATTAAAAATACTATTTTTTAAAAAATTTATTATTTATTTGACCGCACCTACCGACCAACTCCTTCTCATAACAGTAATTATAGTTTCGACAAAAAAAAAAAAAAAAATGAGCCATGGAGGCAAAGAAAGGAACTGGGAGGAGAAAAAATAGATGAACAATTTGACCACTTAATAGTGCGGTTGATTTTAATATATTTCAAAACTGGCAAAGAGATATCTAGAGATATAGAAGATAACAATCTGGTAAATAAAATAATTTAATAAATTTTTTACTGGATGATGCAATTTCTATGACATCACCGACAGTATAATCGTGGAATATAAAGGACAGCGTCTCCGGGGATCTGAAGAAAACAGGAGTTAATTAATCCGTTAATAAATTTTCTACTGATAGGGAGAATTGAGGAAGAGCAGTTGAGCAGGCCAAGGACCACTGCATGCGTCTCTCGCACCGATAATTAGTGAATTAAACTATTTCTCTGCTTCATAGGCAAGGATTCTTTATTTATGGGGATGACTTTCAAAGTATGAAATGACTACCTCATTTCATTATATAAGAAATCTTCTTTTGTTTAGTTTAAAAATGTGGAGGATAAAATACTATAAAATTATTCCAGTGATGGATGCATAGTTGACTGTTGAAATTGTAAGAATGAAAAATTATTCTTTAAATTAAAATTTTATTGTTTATTTAGGAGAGGGGAAGCTACCTGTACCCTAACATAATTGATTGGGCAAAGGGTTCTGTAGAGACTCAAAAGGACTATCTGCCCTGTTTTACTGATGGTTCAAGGAAAGACTCTACTAGTTTAACGGGTGCAGGAGTCTATATAGAGAACCTAAATATAGAATTAAGCATACCACTAGGTAAACATGCTACGGTATTTCAAGCAGAGGTGTTTGCTATACTTTCTGCAGTCACCTGTTTAGAAGTTACCAATTGCGAGAATGCTGGCATTACTATCTATTCGGATAGTCAGTCAACACTACAAGCATTGCAGTCTCCCAAAGTGACCATCTTGTCTTGCCTGCTCCAAGAGGGTGGAACTAGTGCGGATCTCTGGTCACAAGGGAATTAAAGGCAACGGAAAAGCTGATTACCTAGCAAGGAAAGGAGCGGAATCTCCTATTGTGGGCCCGGAACCTGCAATAGGAATATCCAGAAAGCATCAGCGGAAAGAAGTCCTTGATTGGACTTGGAAGATAACAGGTAAAGAATGGAGGGAATGTACTGGGCTTAGCCAACCGAAACAATTTATTAAAGCACCTCTCCCTCCAAAACAAAGTGGCTGCTGGGCCTAACTAGGAAAGAAATCCGACTCATCATCGGAGTATTAACAGGCCACTGCAGACTTGAAAGACATTTAAAGACCTGTGGGATAGTGGATGATGAACTCTTCAATCTCTGCAGAAGTGCACCTGAAACTGCCCTTCACTTCATAACAGAATGTGACCGATTTGCGTCACTCAGATACAGATTTCTGGAAGCGGACAGAATCTGAGTATGCAAAGCTGCCTCCATTAAATGGTCCAACCTTTTAAACTTCATTAGAAGAACAGAAAGGTTTGAGACAAAATAGAGGTACAATAGACAACCACTGGTAGTATAAAATTTTGGGGTTGGCAAAAAGGACCAATAGGCCCACTTGCCGGACTAAGTCCCCCCACCAGTACCAGTACCAGTAGGAGAGGGGAAAGATCACCCTCTGAATCGGCCAATGCAGCATCATCAAACAATATTATACACAAGCACTAGCGGATCCAGGATTTAATTTTGGGAGGGAGGCTTCAGCCCGAAAGATTTTTTTTCATGACTTCTCTATAACGATAATTAATTTGAAAAACAAAGAAGAAATAAATGAACTACCTATATGAAATGGTGTTTAAGTGATTCTTGAAGTCCTATTAAATGTAATTACACGAACAATAATACTTTAAGAGAATGTTTTTAATATTTTTTTCTACCTAGGACTCCATCTGGACAAAAGTCTAACTTGGAATCCTCATACCAGACTGAAACGACAAGAAACAGCTCGACGTTTCCGACTACTTCAACACTTACTAGACAAACGCTCTAACCTTCCAATTAACTATAAAAGACTAATTTACATGACTATAATAAGGCCTATTTAGACTTACGGAGTTGAGCTATGGGGCTCCGCCAAACCTTCAAATTCCTCTCGCATCCAATCCTTACAATCCAAAATCCTTCGTAAAATCCTCAATGCTCCATACTTTCTCACTAATAAAATCATCCATAAAGACCTTAATGTTCCTTATGTTTCAGATCTGGCCCAATCCAGATACCTATCTTTCCATAATACTCTTCAGAATCATCCCAACCCTCTCGTTTCTAACCTTGCTTCTTCTTCAATTCCTGATATCCCTGCGAGGCGTCTGAAAAGAAGATGGCCCCGTGAACTCCTAATGTAGTCATATCATTAGAGTGCTACCATTGGGTAGTTACTCAGCAAGTGTTTTCATGTCATTATATCCATTATGTCCACATTTACTTGATGTATTTATTTAATACAGTTGTAAATGTCATTAAGAAATAAAATTTAAAAAATATATATTTATAGTATACTGGGTTTTTATCATTTTTTGTTTTTTTTATTTAATTTTGATCTTGGCCATCATTTCTTATGGTATATTTTTTGTTCCATTTTTTTCTTTTTAAAGTTGCTTGCATGAATTTTTATCTATCAAAATTTTACTTTTAGGCATTAAATTTTTACTTCTAATTAGTTATTATAATGATAATGGTGTAGAGATGGTTGACTGTGATACAATATGAGAAGGAGTTGGTCAGGGGGTGCCGTCAAATAAATACTAAATTATAGAAATAGTATTATTTAAGTATTATACCGACATTTCGACCCAACTTGCCTATAATGGAAGGAATTTTATCTTCTTCTTCTTCTTTAGCTTCCCTCTTTAGTGCCTCTCAGCGTAGAGGAACATTCAGCCAGGAATTCCATTCTTCCCTATTTCTAGCTAGGTTCCTCGCTTGTCGGAGGTCCTTCTCCCTCGCCTTACAGTGTCTCTCAATGTAGTCAAGATAGGACATTCTAGGCCCCTAAGTCTTCTGCCTTGCATAAGTTCATCTGGGACATAGTCCATGATCTTTAGAGGATCTCTGTGGTCGTCCATCCTGATAACATGGCCGAATCACTTTAGCTGACTAGTTTCTAGGAGCTCTTTCAGTGGGGCTATCTGCAGTTTGCAGATTGCGAACTCGGTCTCTCCTTGGTTTTCCCAACCGTCCTTGACAGAAATTTCATTTCGGCAGCGAAGATTCTGCTGTTCTGTCGGTCTGTTAGTATCCAGCTCTCCGCTCCATACAAAAGTATGGGTAGATACACCGTCTTGAAGATGTGTAGCTTGACATCTTTGCCTACTTCTCTCTTCCCTACTACAGTGTTACATATCTGGTAGTAAACTGTATTTGCCTTATTAATCCTGTTTGATATTTCTGCTTCTACCTTCCCAAATACATCTATCACTGTACCCAGGTATGTGAAGTCTGTCACCACTTCTAATTCTTCTCCATTACAAATTTTATCAAGTATTCTTTTAATAATAATAATAATTTGGAGCAAATCGATGGTCGTTCTTCCAGTATCAAAAATATAAAAAAATAAACATTTTAATTATTAAAGTGAATTATTTATTAAATAATTTCTATATTTCAGATATAATCAACATAAGCATTATCCGTTTCAATATGATAATAATGACCAAGATATCCTCCATGACGCACACCATGATATCCTCCATGACGTCCACCATGATGTCCACAATGAAGTAAACCAATAACATTTAAATATAGGCATTTTAAAATTTGACATAATAAAGATAACTATTGAAGATTAATAAATACATTTTGAAAGTTTATTTTATGTAAAAATTTATTACAAAATAGTTGACATTTAGTTATTTTTTAAGTTCATTCAAGGTATGCGATAATATTAAATCTTCCTCCTGGAATAAATTAATAACTTGGTAGGGAGAAACATTATAAAAAATAAACACAATACATGAAAAAAATTGTAACAATAGCAAAAAAAAAAATACAGCCCCAATACATCATAATACTAAACCAAAATTTTGTTTTAAAAAATCCAGGAATTTTAAATATAGAAAACAATATTAATAATAGAAAAACAATGGAAGCCTTGTTTATAACAAAAAAATATATAACAGACAATTAATTATAAAATTATAAACCACAGATAGCAATCAATACAAATTACAGAAAGGCATACATTTTCATCCACAGCAAAATACATGAGAAAATAAAATAAAAAACAATAGATAGAAAATGGAGAAGAAAAGAGAAAAATAAATATTTGACAGGGTAACGATACAAGATTAGGATGTTCCGAAATAGAACAGAAATAAAAGGATATAAAAAAATTACAACATAAAAAATTATGGATGAAATATATGCCAATATTTAGGAACAGAAAAAAAAGATTAATAATAATAACATCAATTTTAAAATTGTGAATTATATAAAAGGTTAAGATAGATTATATTAAGTGTAATAATTATAATTATATTGTAGAATATTCCTGAAGGTTGGCAGAGCTCTGAAATTTTGAATGTGTAAGAAAAAAACATGAGTAATAGAAAATTTACCTTAGGAGGAAAGTTTTATTTTAGAACAGAAAATAAACTTTATTGTGGGACGATGTCCCCTTAAAATAACAATAATGAACAGTTACAAAAGAAAAAAATACATATCTGGCCAAAAACTAACTTAATAAAGATCCAAACAATAGATAAAATAACTTAAATAATATTGTGTAAACAACTAAGAAATAAAATTAAATCTTCTCAGCTATATTTATAATTCTACTAGAAAAAAAAAAGGATTACATGTATAGAAAGAAAAAGTAAAACCTCCAGAAAAGAAAAGATATCAAAAGTACGCAAATAAAAAGTATTGACTTGTTACATTAAAACCCAAACAGCTAAAACATACAAAATATATAAATAGATTAAGATATATGAATGACAGAAGATGAGCTACGGGAATATTACATTATCCCGACGTAAGAAATATAAAATAAGAATAATTAGATAAATAAAATTAAGAAGGGGAATTAAATTAATTTTATGAGAAAACAAACTGATTAAAATAAAATAAATTATTTATGTATGTTATACAATACACAATGGTATTGTAAACTATAAAAATAAAAAATTTTACTGACTGTTAAAAAGGTTTTTTGGCATTTTTATTTTATTTTTTTTATATTTTACCTTTGATAATTAATGACTTATTTTCAATAAGATTTTTATGTTGAAAGAAGTAAATAAATCTGTATTTGTTTTAATAATGAAATATTTTTTAAAGATAAAATTATTCTCCTTGAGGTTTTTGAAATATTACTTGAATAAACATTTCTTTTCTTAATTGATTGATATGCTTAAAAAAAAAAAAATTTAAATTTCTTTACATAAAAGCAACTATAAAATTTCATTTTTAAATTCTAATTTTTAAAAAATTGTAAAAAAAAAAATAAATAAAACTTGTTACATTTATTACATTTGGCCTATTTCGATAATTTTGAAAAACTATGTAAGTAAAAATTTCCAACATTTTAATTTTCTATATAAAACATTTAGTTCATCTTTGATAAATGTGTACATTAATAATGGTAATTTAATTTTTATATTATTCAACTTGTGTTGATTTTCATTGATAGTATTAATGCCAATAGTTTTTACATAGTGTTTTTTTGTTTGGCTTATGCGTCCATAATCTCTTTATGGTAAGGAGTTGGTTGCTGAACACATTACCAGGCTTTGTGGATTCCGAGGATCAGTAAAAATATTCAGATTTTACAATAAAAGTTTTAAAAATTGTAAGTTGAATTTCATTAAGTGTGATAATATAAAACATCCATCATATTGATTTAAACACACATAAAAATAATAAACATACATAAATAATATATTTTGTGTAGATTTCGCATGGTACGGGGTTCTGTCTAGAGATAGACACAGGCTGACCAGACCGGAAGCAAAGTGCCAGGAGGGCTGGTCGTGCAACCTGATGGAGCATAAGGTGCACATCGATGCACTAGGCTGCACCAAAGTAAAACCAAATAATTGTTTCCAAAAATTAAATTTATCCGTAACAAATGTAGAATAAGAGCAAATTTTTAATAAAGAGTTTTATTGATAATGTATATATCTCCAATTTATTAACCCACTACTGTTGATTCCCAATAAGCCAGAAACGGTGGGTAGAGAAAAAAAAACTAAGGTGTGTGCTTTGAACCACATGATAAAGTTGAAAACATTAACAAATCAAGATTAATAATATGAAATATAAATTATAAGTAATAGCTCATTATAAAGAGGATGAAATGCTGAACATTTCCCTCACTTACAGTATGCATGTCCAATTTTAAGTTTTTGAGATATTTTAACCCATATCTTCAATAAAACTCGTTATCATTTGGTTTTCAATACTATTTTTTCCCTTTTCACTCTCTAACACGGCATCGAATTCAGATACAATTTTGAATAATAGCTTATTACGAAGAGGATGGAATGCTAAGAATTTTTCTTGCCAACAATATGGAAGTCCAATTTTTAATTTTCGAGATATTTTAATCCATATACAAAAACACTTCAATTAGTCAACTCCAACCGACTTTACTCAAGCGTTACTCATAGATCTGACGGTTCAATCTAATTCATTCTCCACAAAAAAAAGAAGTGAAAAACCCTCCTAAAGAAGTTTTCACTTCAAAAATACACCTATATAATGAAACAAATATTGAAGTATTGGATTGAAGGAAAATCTTTGCAAATAGAATTTTTCCTAGCAATTTTTTTAAAACTTTTATTATGATATTTACAACTGTATTAGTATGAATACATCAAGTAAATGTGTACAGAGAAATATTATCACATGAAACACACTTGTTGAGAAACTACCCACTGGTAGCTCTCTAATTGCAATTTTAAATTCAAAAACTTACTATATATTAAATGAAATAAATTCAAATCCAATTATAATAAATATTTTAGAATATAGTACATATATATCAATGATGAAAATGTGAGTAATTTCTAAGACTTAAAATTAAATTTTAACTTTTATTTTTAACCGGTTTCAGTATGACTGGAACTTTTATTTTTACTTTCCTACTTATACTAGGTAAGGAAAGTATTGCAATCGGGTCAAATTTTCGATATGTGGTTTTCTACGGATCTATACGTTTCAGAGCATCCTGAGTCCAAAAAACACATTTTTAGCCATTAGTATGTCCGTCTGTCTGTGCCAAGATTTTCTCGGGAACTACTGAACCGATTTTGTTGATATATTTTTTATTTTGTAGGGTTTTGATTACTGATGCCTGTGACAGAAATTCGGTGCTCCATGCGCAATAGCTTGCAGGCAATAAATGAAAAACATGTTTTTCTATGTAAACACCGTTTATCCTATTTTTTGAAAGGTAGTGAAATTCCCTACAAAACTATATAAAAATTGTTCATTTTGGACAACTATTAACGAAGTTACAGCTATTCAATTTTCAATGTAACATTACGGGTTCATATCCTGGTTTCAGAAAGGGGTGAATGAGAGAAAAAAGATGAAGTAAGAAAATCTGTAGCCCGCATCACACAAGCTTCACTATTTCCTCTACTTTTAACAGAAATTATTGTTTGACAATACTAAGTTATGACAAAAAGTTTTTGATTAGCAATATTAAAGAGTATTGAAATTTTACACTGATCTACCTTAATCCGGTTTACATTGCTTTAGTTTATCAAATAAATCGTACTCAAATCTTTCCTTTGATCAATTTTCAGGAAAATAAATCTAGTTCAATTTTTTTTTGTTTCTTCATGAACATATGTAAAGGTATACAAACTTTTCTAAAATAGGTAGGAAAGTCATGTGAGTGGACACACCAGACTTTTTAAAGAGTTATTCTATTATTTCGGAACTAGAAATTTTTCCCTTACGAATTTTTGAGTAAAGGTTTTACAGGTCTTTTATTTAAAAGTCTTGTAGATTTTGCCTAAAATTACATCTGAAAAACTACGTTTATTCTTACCTACTAAAAAACAACACAATATTAGAATCAATTCATTTAAGATAAATGATAACACTAATCTAAGCCCAATTACTGTTTATTTCTCATTTAACATAACTTTGTTTAAGAAATTAAGTAAATAAAAGTTAAACTTTTACTACAAATTTTATTATAAAAAAGTTCCTTAGAACTTTCATTTTTAAAACTTTTTTTTTAAATAAAAGTTTCACAGAAACTATTAAAATGGAACTTTTTAAAATAGTTTCATAAAAGTTTCAACCCCTGGTCGAACAAATTTTTAGAATAAATTATTCCATAAAATGTTCTGAAACGAAACTAAAAAAATGAATTGAATAGAAATTGAGAAGAATATAAGTGTTATAAATATACTTTATGAGATTATGAAGCTAAAGTATGGGATTTTCTGATAAGTGTAATAATCCTAATTTAAAAAAAGATTATCTCTAAACATCTCATGTTTAAATAACTAAAGAATGCTTCATATTCTATTGCATTTATAATTATTTTTTCAAAACCTTTGTTTTAATTATATTTATAATTTTTACAACAGATTCCATCACTAGCGGATCCAGGATTTAATTTTGGGGGGGGCTTCAGCCCGAAACCTTTTTTTTTCATAAAAATAACGATAATTACTTTGGAAAAACAGAAAGAAACTAACTAACTATATGAAATGGTGTTTAAGTTATTCCTTAAGTACTTTTAAATTTAATTACACGAACAATAATACTTTAAGAGGTATTTTTAAAAATTTTTTCCCCATAAAATGTGGTTATATTTTTCCATTTTGGGGGGGCTTAAGCCCGAAAGCCCCTTCCCCCCCCCCTCCGTAGATACGCCTATGGATTCCATTACTGTCTGACTAACTTAAAATTAAGGAGGAATCATTTCTTACTATAATTTATTATTAATTGTGGAGTAGAATATACCACCAATAAATAGAAAGAGTGCCCCAAAAAAAAAAAATTCCAAATTACATCCTCACCAAAACTATTTTTCTTTGAAGAAAAAAAATTATATCAAGTTTTCAAGTGTATCAGGAATTATACATAATAATTAAATATTACCACGATCATATAGATGTGTAACATTTAAGTTTTTTTTTCAACTAAAAGATAAATAATAGAAAATTTAAATTTTAAATATTTAACTTCTATTACATTTGTGTGATGCCAACATTTACTGTTACTGTAAATTGTAATCTAACATTACTGTTAGATTGTTCATAGTTTCTTTTTTTTTATCGTTTCACTATAAATTAATTTTTATTTTATTCTTTCTGAGTTATTTTTGTTGATATGTTGTAATATATTAATTATTGTATACTACATTTTATCTGTTTGCTTATTAGTTTAAATGGTCTCATATTTAACTTAGTTTATCCCTTATCAATAATTAAGTCAAAGCTTGTTCCAACTTTATTTCTAATATTGTATTAAATTTTATTTATGGCCTCTTTAAAGAAATTGATAGTAATTTTATTGTTTTTACAATGTTACTTTATCAAATTATTTTAATTTTTTGTTGAATATAATAACTGATTGAAGAAAATACAAAAAGAAATACCAAGCCAAGTCAGAAAGATGCTTATCTCATTGACGTATACCAATTTATTACTATTTTAGGCATCATTCATTAAAGATATCATTTGAAGTTTTTTTTTTACTATTATATCACTTCAGTTCATTACATAAGTGTTTACAAAAAATTGACACACGTGTATTGATACATGAGTATTTAATGAATCTCAATAATTAATAAATTGTGAACTAGTGTTACAACACGTAAGCCAAGAGAAAATAATTTGGATTTCTATATTATTTTTTTGTATAATTAATGTAACAATTTATTGATTACATACAGTAACAATATATTTATAGTGCTCAAGGTTACCCTGTAATCCTTAGATTGGTCAGGGTTAGTGTCGATTATTAAATTTTGTAATCCCTAAAATTTTGTTTATTTGAAATTTTCATATAAATATATGTATTTTTCCACCCTAAGTATCCATTATTTTTTAATGTTTCCTACTAATCTATCGGGCACTATGTATGTCATGTATTCAAATGAAAACTTATGTTGCACTAAGTATATATTGTGTTAACTATATATATTTATCAATTTACAGTTATCCTCTTTATTGACTGTAGAAGTTAATAGAAATATAGGAGTATAAAAAATTACAAAAATATTAGTTAAATAAAAAATTAAATTAAAAGCCTGGTGTGGAGATATTGGCTTATGTTATTGAGTTATAATAAAGAGATTATTTTAAAAAAAAAATTATGGCAGTTATATGTTTATGAGAAAATTAAAAGTTTTTATACATAAGAATGTTGCCTTATTTAAAATAACAAACAGAAACAATAAACACCATTTGAACCTTAAACCATTAAAGAATCTTAAAATCAGTTATTTCAATACAAGTATGATTCTTGTGTTTATCCTTAACAGTACAAAAGAAAAGTTTACAAAGTGGAAAAAATAATAATTCAAAATACATTGTAAATATGGAAATAATAAAGTATGTTAAACACAATGTAATAATTCTAACCATGTAATAAAATGAAAATTATAGTACGAGCTACAAGCTATGTCAAGCACTAACGGATCCCGGATTTAATCATGGAGTGAGCTTCAGCCTGAATTTTTTTTTTTTTTGTATGTATATATGAGGATAATTACTTCGGAAGAAAGAAAGAAACTAACTACCTATACGATATGGTGTTGAACTGATTCTTTAAGTGCTATTAAATGTAATTAAATGAACAATAATACTTTTACAGATAATTTTTTTCATAAAAGATGTATATATTTTACCATTTTGGGAGGGGCTTCAGCCCGAAAACCTCCCCCCTCTCCCGTAGATCAGCCTGTGATTTCAAGTATGTGACTAATACGATCAATTCTGAAAATCGTAGCTTTATATATTTGACCTTGAAACATTGTGGCATTAAAATAAAATAAATTTAAATTAATAAAGAACTCTAAATGGAAGTTATGTTAAGTGCATTATACATTTACAACAGTAGTGGATCCAGGATTTAATTTAGGGGAGAGGCTTTTTTTTTTTTTAATGGTAATTACTCTGAATAAGAGAAAAACTTTTTATAATCTATATAAAATGGTGTTTGAGTGGTTTATAAAGACTAAAATACATACAATAAAGAAATAGTAACAGAAGATGGTCGAAGTGAGCCCAAAATGTTGATTTTCGAGATGAAGTCCAGAGTTGCCCATCCCCCTCCAAGGTCGATGGCATATAAAACTCCTCCCATTCTCAAGGTATTTTGTTACTCTCCTCTTCTTAAAAGCATTAGAAATTAAACTACCGTAAATCATATACAATTACACTTCTGAGGTTTGTTGCATGTATTCCTTTTGTCTCCTTGTTTGAAACTTTTCAATCAGAAAATTCATAACTCCGTCGAAATGTACTCCCTCAAAAATACAAAATGTGCCCCCTCAAAAATACAAAATGTGCCCCCTCAAAAATTGTGATGGCACAACTTGCGTCATGAAACCCCCTTGTGGACACCCCTGCTGAACCCTCCTCCCAAAATAGTTGACAATTATAATCATTATGTATTTTTTGTTTAAATTTTTATATTATTTAAAATAATTGTAAAAATTTCTATTTAGTCTGGAAATTTCATTTGGTTTCTATCTCAGTCAGCATTGGCTTTTAATACTGGTGATGCGGTTGAGAGAGTACTGCAGGAAATCTATTATTTTTTTTATAATATTACTTATTATAAAATTTTTATTTATTTATTTTGTTTAATTATTTGTATTATTTTCCTTTTATATGTACATATTGTATGATTGAATCCTTTTAGCTCAAATACTTTTTTACATCCAATGTATTCAATTGTATTTTTATTCAATAAACTTATTATTTCATAAATAATCTAAATTTTTATTTAAGGTGCGTTTTGACATTTCACAAGCTATCACGGGCAGATCTACGGGGGAATGGCTTTGGTGCTGAAGCCCCCCCCCCCCTCTCCCTCTCCCTCTCCCAAAATGATAAAATATTACCATGTTTTATGGAAAAAAAATGTTAATAATACCTCTTTATGGTGTGAATGTGCTCTCAGAACTCTATTATAAATGTCCTTTATTGAGACAGATTGTAATATTTATCAATAAACAAAAAAAAAAAAAAAATAATACCTCTTAAAGTATTATTGTTAGTGAAATTACATTTAAAAGGACTTAAGGAATTCACTTAAACACCATTTCATATAGGTAGTTAGTTTCTTTCTGTTTTTCAAAAGTAATTATCGTTATTTTTATGAAAAAAAAAGGTTTCAGGCTGAAGCTCCCCCCCAAAATTAAATCCTGGATCCGCTAGTGCAAGCTATTGAAAACACAATTATCTAACTTAACTAATAGCGACATCAGCGCCGAGCTCAACTTTTTTTTACTTTTATTTTTACCAAGATCAGTTTTTTTTATGTAAAACATCAAAAACACAAATGCTAGTGGCATTAGTAAACAACCATTTAAATACTTAATTCCTATAGTTCGTGAAATGCCTAAGCGCACCTTTACAGGAAATGTAGGTACATAATTTACAGGTTACCAACCTTTCTGGGTCAGATAAGAAAGCAGGGTTGCCAGGTTGTTTTTTTCCCCTTAGATTTAGTTTTTTTTTTTTTTTTTTTTTTTTGGGATGCAAAAGATTTGGGGATGAAAATGATTTTGGATTTTTTTTTATCTGCTAAATTTATTCATCATTTTTATATGATTAGAAATTGATCATTAAAATAAGTGGGAAGAATTTTAAAAACACTTTGATTTTTTTATCAATTTATTTATGAAAGGTACAATAGAATAACATAATAAAACTTCATTATAACGACATATTATATGTTTCAGCAATGATACTTAATTAAAATATTCAATAAATAAAGTTTTTAAATCTGAATGGCCAGGAATGAGTTGTGGACGCTCCAAAGACTGATTTTGTCAGCTCATTTTAAGCTATCAGGACGTAGGACAATTTTATTTAAGAAAATAATATAATATTTACATAAATCAATAAAGTGTGGGCCGGCTCTGATGAGCCTAGATTTAAATTTGGTCTCAGAAATATAAAAAAAAATATGTGATTTTTAATATTAGGTAATTTCCTAAACTCAGCGCTAATTCCATGGAAGGAGTCTATGAATCGATTGAATCGAGCACCGATGGACCTCGATTTATGATTGATTCCAGCGAAAGGTTATCAATCCTGAACGTTTTATATTGAATTGTTAAATTACAAAATAGAAATAAATACAGATAGTAAGCTGATTACAAAGTAATTTAAGAAATAAAAATAGTGAGGTTACAATCAATGGATTCATCGGCACCAAAAGCCTCTGGAACCGCCTTGTCATCGGTGAATTAAGAAACGCGATGGTTTCCATTTATGAGTTTAAGAACGGTGTGATGGATTTCTGATGTCCATCAATGAGCTTAGCGCTGAATTTAAGAAATTATTCCGTGTCTTCTTGCTTGCAATAGTCTGACATGAGCTTAATTTTCAAAAGGATTCCTTCTAAAATACTTTTAATATGATTTATTTGATATGATTAACAGTCTTTCGTAGTCAGTAATGCTAAGAAATAGCTAAATATTAACAATGGAAGAATTTGATAATTAACACAAGGAGATTCATTTTTCCAAGTTGAAAACAAGTTTTCGGAAATAATATATGAGTGAAAAGCTAAACATTTTAGAAACATTATTATCTAACATATAAAGTCGTAGAAGTTAATGGAGAAGTGACGAAAATATTATGAATTTTTGAAAACTAATATTATTTAATGGAAACCATGTTTCCATGGAAACTAAATGAAATTTCCAGACTAAATAGAAACTTTTACAATTATTTTAAATAACACAAAAAACACATACTTATTATAATTGTCGTTCTGGAATTATTTGTAAACTATTTTATCGTACTTTTCTTGTAAGAAATGCTGTTCAAAAATATTTCAAGCAGTTTTTATACCTAGTTTGCTGAAACATATGTTAATAACCTCTAACTTTAACCACGAAAATATTTTAATACTTGTACGTTATTATTTCAATAATAATTAGTCCTATTTGAGCAGAAATTTAATTAGAGTATTAAGTTGTATGATGAACAATGTAAACATTTTTTTTATTTATAGTTATTTAAAAATATTGTTGTAATTAATATGATACTGTGAAGGTATTGTTTTGTTATAGGGCTTTAGAATTTAGTTCTATCGACCAAACTAGCGATCTTGTCATTAATCTTTAATTTGCTCAAGGCCGTAAGATTATCAGCATCAAAGGGATAACGGTTATCTTTTATTCCTAGCGTCTTGCCGAATTATTTTTAGTCCATTGTTGTCTTCTTTTTTTTAATATAGGCAGTGCTCTTTATTAAATAATTACTAAATTATTGCTATCAACAACTAACTTTTTTTGATTAATTAATAACACAAGAAAGGTTATTGATAAAACAAAAATCTCTTAAGTTTCTACACAGTTTTACTTCTGTTGCATTAACCTGTATCTTGAGTTCTTTGATCTCAAAACTGTGCTTAGCCAATCCCTACCACCTCAATTGGAATTAAACAGTTTTATCGAAGCGACCTTATCTACAAAAGCCGGCCGGTATTTTCTCATTCCATTCCAAGAACTGCTCAAGTAAAGATGTCTGAGAAAGTACCTTCCATCAAGTTCAACAACGGTTATGAATACCCAATTTTAGGTTTGGGTACCTGGAATGTGAGTATATATTTACATAAATCTTTTGAATCAAGTGTCCATGTCAAATAACTAAATGAAAAAAATATTTGGATCTTGCATTATTCAGATTTACATGATTTTTGGAATTTACTTATTCTCATTAAATACATTACAAGTCCATTTTATTTTTAAATTTTGGAAACAGCCAAATATCTACATGTTAGATCACATAATTGCTTGTGGATTTAGAATAGTGCTTAAGAATGTTCAATAACTTATTTTAAAAATTATTACATAGGGTTTAATTATTATCTAACATGACAACCTGCCAAAATTTTAAAAATTTCAAAATGATATTTTAGATTTAAAAAATATATTTGTTATTCAGACATATTTTAGTTAAATTCATGACCATTTGAAGATGGAGAAATGATGCCATTATTATTTAATAGAATTTAGATATTAAGAAGATGCTATATGATTTCTTTTACAACAATAAAGAGTAACTTGATTTTCATTTGAAATATTGTATATTCAGAAACATTTGATAAATTGACCATAGAACTGTATTTCAATTATTTCTTTGCAAATTAATACTTCAAGTCAAATTTAATACTGAACACTAGTTTCTTCTTAATAGTAATAATGATTTTTTCAATTATACAATTTATTAAGATAACCTGCTCCACAGGCAATTCTAAGGAGGGCCTTCTGGGCTGAAATCCCCTCCTCCCCCCCCAAAACGGTAAAATATAACCATGTTTTATCGAAAAAAAAATATTAAAAACTATCTCTAAAGTATTATTGTTCATGTAATTACATTTAATAGGACTTCGAGAATAACGTCAACACCATTTCATGTAGATAGTTAATTTTTTTTTTTTTTTCAAATTAATTATTGTATGTATGAAAAAAAAATCTTTCTGGCTGAAGCCTCCCAAAATTAAATCCTGGATCCGCTAGTGACCTGTTTCATAATATTGATTTTTTTGATAAAGAATAGGTAAAATTTAAGATGAAAATTAGCATACCTACTATCTCATGTTATGATATAATATGAAAAATTTTATTTACTCACGATTCCCTCATTTCTTCACCTTGAAATTTGGCACGAATTTAATCTATAAAAAAAGTAGTATTTTTGGGATTTTAAAAATTCCATTACAGTTAAAACTTACAGAAAAATAATTGTAATAAAGTCCTTTTGCCAATCATTCAAAATTTCACCCTTCTTAAAGTATTATTGTTAATATATATTCATAATATACCTTTACTTTAGTCGAAACCAGGTGAAGTTGTCGCAGCTGTTAAAGCTGCTATAGATGCAGGATACAGGCATTTCGACTGTGCTTTTGTGTATGAAAATGAAGAACAAGTCGGTGAAGCTATAAGTGAAAAAATAAAAGAAGGAGCCGTGAAACGGAGTGATTTGTTCATTACTAGCAAGGTAGGTGTTTTTGTTATAAAATATAAATAAATAATCTGATATTACTATAGTTGATTATCTTTAACTTTTTTTTATTTTCAGTTGTGGTGTACTGCCCATAAAAAGGAATTGGTTGTTGATGCTCTGAAGAAAACATTAAGCAATTTAAAATTGACATATTTGGACTTATATCTTATACATTGGCCTATGGGTTTTAAGGTAATCGTTTATTTACTTCCTAAATATATTTAATCCGTCTGTTTGTGGAATACATATTTATTTTATTTCTTTGATTATTAAGTCATAAAATATACTGATATTATTTTTTAATTTAGCGTTCTTAAATCAATCAATCATTCAGTAATAAAAATAACTAAACATTTCAATTTTTTTATTAGATTATATATTAATAATGATAAGAAAATACATTACTTTGTATTTTATATTTAGTTAATAATAAAAATGTTTCATTCATTTTAAGTAAATAAACAAAATTAATTATTTAGTTAGTGATAGACCAGATGAATTTTAATAAATATATCCCTAAATAATTTTTTTTTCACTTTTATTTTTCAATTCACGTCTGTTAATTATAATTACCAACAATCAGCGGCTTAGCTGGTATAATTATCATATAAGGAAAAAATATTAAAATAAGAGAAAAGTGGCTTAAAATTCAATTAGTTTTAATATATTTTATTGTAATCAATTCCTATAAAAATAATTATATTGAATATGCAATTAGACTTAACAATCATTCCTCTATTTTATTTATTTATTGATTATTTAAATTTGTTTTTAATATTAGATATGTACCTGCCAAAATAACATTTTAACATTATCAATGTATAATGTTTATTGTATTGTCAAACATAATAATGTTTCAATAAATTACATTGAATTGTTGTGTCTGTAACTAAGTTGCAAACTTTTGAAGTTTGAATGCTGTTGAATGAAAAATTGATTTAAATTTTCTAATTCAAATAGTTCTACATGATACAATGGTTGACCTTGAATATGTTTTTCTGGAACTGACTACCACTTATGATGTTTTTTAGCACCAGTAACTGAAAATAATATTAATTCTCTCTTCAATATTTATTTAACTAATAGGAACATTTTTATTTTTGATATTTTGATTTGTTTGTAAATAAGTTATAATTAAATATAATGAAGAGAAGAATAGTTGGGGTGGTCAGTCAAAAAGGAAGACAAAAATAAATGATAATATTTATTTTTTACATATCCCGACGTTTCGACCTGAAGTTCAGGCCTTCATCAGGGCTGTCTCCTTAAGTGTTGCAGGGAGAACACTTAGAAAGGGGATTCTCCCTGCAACACTTAAGGAGACAGCCCTGATGAAGGCCTGAACTTCAGGTCGAAACGTCGGCATAAGTAAAAAATAAATATTATCATTTATTTTTGCCTTCCTTTTTGACTGACCACCCCAACTATTCTTCTCTTCATTATCCACGACAGTCAACCAATTACCAATTATGAATAATTAAATATAAATGAACATTGTGAATGTCACATAGAAGTTTTGTTACGTTTGTATGATTACAAGTTATTTAGTATTTACACACTTTTTTTTCTGATTTTTCAAAAGAAAATTTCAAAAATAAATGAGAGTGATCATAAACTCATGATAATGTTAGTTAAATTTCTTGCTCCTATTTTTTATTTAAGTTTTTAAAATCTCTTATATTTGTTAATAATAACTTGTTTTTAATTGAAAAAAAAAATATTATCTTTTATTTCTAATATGGTTTAGTGTGTCTGAGATAAGTGTGCCTGTAGGGTAAGGTAGCTCGCGCTGCCTTTCCCCTCTCAAGCTCCATCTCATACCAGGAACGCGTTTTTCAATGTTCTATTTTCTTCTAAATTCTAATTTTTTAAATAAATGAAAAATGGTGAAAGAAATTTCAACTTAAAAAAAAAAAATTGTAGAAGTATGTATGAATGAGTGAAGACAAAAGAGTGGGGGATCGAAAGGAAAACCTTTTGCCACCGTGCACCTCTCTCCCCTTCTATCCACCGCCAAACTTATCTTAGACCGACTTTACATCAGTTGATTGTTAATATTCATATCGATTTTTCCAAACTAAAAAGAAAAAAATTCTTATTTTATTATATTTTTATAAAAATGTTAAGTTGTGTGGGTTTATTTTTAAAAATATTACATTGGCATTACTAGATAATACTTGACATTATTTATATGGTATAATTGAGGGTTGTTTACTGTATTAATAAAAATTAGAGCTATACTTACAGTGTATTATACCCTTCGTTTGGTAATGTTCTTTTTGAATTTATTAATTTAATTTTATGAAATGCAAGGTAAATTTGTTGTATTTGTTGATGGTATTAATTTAATGGAAAATGTTGTAATCTAAAATATCAAAACTGCCTAAAGATATTTTTCATCACTAGATTTGTTAGTGAATAAATATTGACTCAAGTTGGAATGTTTGCTTGTTTTTTTGTTAAAAAATAAACATATTTTCTGATAATATATTTCAAGGACAGGAACTCTTAAAAATAATAGTAAATAAATATAATAAGAGTGAATATATCTCTAGATATATTCCTGTTGGTCAGCCATAAGTAGGATTTAGGATGAGTAGAAATCATTCTGTACCTTATCCAGTTTAAATAAACTTTTATGGTTTCTGAAATCGAACCAGTCTCTCTTACGGTTCTTTAGAATGTTGGCATTAACTGAGGAAATAACCTATAAACATCAATTACGTATGGCTAAGCACATAATATCGCTATCAAATTGATTTTGTAGGTTTTGAATTTCAGTCAGGATAATTTTTATAAGATTTTTTTTATTTATAGGAAGGAGATAATCTTTTCCCAGTTGATAAGAATGGCAAGATTTTGCCTAGCGACAGTTATTTTACCGAAACATGGAAGGGTATGGAAGAATGTGTCAAAGAAGGATTGGCAAGATCCATTGGAATTTCCAATTTTAACATAAAACAAATTGAAGATGTTCTAAGCGTTGCTGAAATTAAACCAGTCAACAATCAGGTATTATTTTCTTACTATTCTGTTTATGAATCAATCTTTTTATTTTTATAAACTTTCATTGAAACTTTTTTATAAAATTTACAATATACTGTAATAGTCCGTGGTACAGATCCCTTTTTATAAAATTATTAACATCTACCTGAAACTTCTGAGATAGCTTCATCTCATTGTAACCTACAACTATTTTATTTACAAAAATTCCAGGAATTGGAGCGTTTTAAATCTGGAAATTGACAAACTTGTCTATTTAATTAGGTATTAAAAACTTGTAAATACCCCTTTGCTTTCTACTCAAAGCATAAGATAAATTGATCACAAAATGGAAAAAAAAGGTGGCCTCCAAAATTATTGGGCCGTTTGGTGTGCCCTACATCCCCAACATTTCAAAATAATGACATTATATACCCCAAATGGCCCTATACTTTTAGAGGCCACCTTTTTTCTCGACTTTGTAATCAAATTATCTTACAATCCAAGTGGAAAGCTAATGGGTATTTATGAGTTTTTAGTACCTAATAAATAGACAAAGTTTGCCGATCTCAAGATTGAAACATCCCAATTCCAAGTGTTTTTGTAAATAAAATAGTTGTAGGTTACGATGAGATGAAGTTATTCAGGAAGTTTCAGGCAGATATTAATAATTTGGTAAAAAGGGGTCTGTACCACGGACTATAATTTATTAATTTTACTTGTTTTTAATAAAAAAAAAATCACGATTTATAAATACACATAGTGAGTGTTTTGAATTAGAAATAGTTTGACTAATGGAGATTTGCTTTTCGGCATTTCGAACTGTTGAAATAAAATATATTTGTTTTGGCAAAGGAGAGACTTTCATATATCACCTCATATATTTTCATTAAAAAAAAAAAGTCCTGTAACCACGGCAATGCATGAGTGGTCTTGGCTTCAGTACTATGTGAGGAAATACTGTTACAAGGCCAACGGTTGTTCAAGGAAGTGTTTGGGCCAAGATTACGCTCAACTGTCAAGTTTTTCCCCTTAATTAATTATTTAATTAACATTACCCTCTTTATAGAGGAAGAGTGTGCCCTTAGAGGGTCTTCTAACCCCAGGATGGACCCATAACTAATGAAATAGAATAAATAATCAACCAAATTTGAACCCAGAACCTTGAGCTTAGGATTATATACAAAAAGTAAAATTAAATTATTAATTAATAAGGAAGAGTATCTTTGAAATATTGCTAATTATAAAACAGCAGTTTGAAGCATAGGCGTCGGTCGAGCATAACATACCTTAAAATTTTATAAATCTGTAGTATGCATACAAATTAATAAATTCTCTATTATTACTGTAAATAAGTCGTATTTCTATCATAGTCTATAATCAATTCATTTTAAGCCGCGTTTACACATCATTCAAATAAATGTGAGCACAACGGTTTTAAAAGTGTAATTTTGGTTTCCTGACATTCTTATATATAATTTATTTTACTTATATACAATTCGAATTTTACTAATCCCCACATATATTATTAAAGTAAGGCTCGAAATCGGGTTTTTACCAAATATAAGCTCCTGTCATGCTCAAATACAGGGGCTAGCGAATCGTATTCTCCACTTTTATTTTTCTTTCTAAAATAAATAAAGTCGATACAAATCTTCCTCCGGAACTATCGGATCTTGCATTTTTAAGTCCAAAAACGTACTATTTTTGAAATAACTCAAGGCATAGGGTTCACATCCACACAACCTTACATTAATTTCTGTACTGTCATTGAATACATGTCACATTTCGTCGACTTGAGGTCTCTGTGATCGAGAGAGGAGGAGTTTATATTATTTATCGATGGTGTTTTTGATCGGCAAGCCATATCATAGTTAATTTTTCACCAAATCTCAAGATTGAGCCACCAATTTCGAAGGCATCCTTCTCCTTCAGGCAGGCAAAATAGTCCAATTACCCCCAAAATTCAGGCAAACAAGTTATGAAAGAAAACAAACTTTATTTGCGAATAACTAAAAATTACACACTTTTCCCTAAGTTATGCCCATGATTATATAAAAGATTACTAAATTTCCTACAAAAGGTAAAAAAAAAAATCATCAAAATCGGATAATTTTTAGCAAAGATACAGCTTATTGAAATTTGTAAACATGTTGGTTCCAAACAAAAATGGAAGATTTAAATTAATTTTTGTTTCCTTTGTCGATTATATTTATCGATAAAGTAACATTTGATTTCTATATCTTTTGATACGTTGCATTATTTTCTTTTCTTATTAATTTGGCATTTTATAACAATATGTTGTGCGAATTTTTTCGCACGGGCCTACTAGTTTTAATTAATAGCTCAGTGGTCGAGCCCTGACTTCCAGAGCTCAAGGTCCCAGGTTCAAATCGGGCTGACTAGTAATTTTTTATCAGCCGTGGGTCGATCCTGGGGCCAGGAGACTCTCCTGGGGCAAATGTAGCCTCTATAAAGAGGGTACTCTTACTTAAATAATTAATTAAGGGGGAAAACCTGGCGGTTGAGTGTGATATTGGCCCGCCACCTTCCTTCACAACCGTTGGCCTTGTAACAGTACTTCCTCACATTGTACTGAACCCATAATCCTTCATGGGTTGTTAGTGGTACAGGTTTTAATTAATAATTCTTAATACCCTTCATTTCATTTCATGTATAAATTATGTTATTCTATGTAATTATATAAGTATGTAATTATTATGCTATACAAAAATTAACATTTTTTTTTTCTCTCTCTCTCTCTCTCTTTTTCTTAGTAACAAATAAATTATTATTTATGTAGCTTCAAATATTTTTTATGTTGATAATTTTATTTGTTCTGTGTATAGTTATTACACTTGATCTTTTTTTATTTCTTTTAATTGTAAGTCCAAATCAAACACATCAACCGGCTTTTCACAACATGCAACATACAACAAACACCAATTTGATTTTTAAAATGCCAAAATAATATATAAGGAAAATAGTAACAATAAAAGAAAAATTATAGAGTCAATATATATTACTAAAAATTTAAAGAATTCCGTTAACAACCATACAGATGTGGACAATATAAATACTTTTTACGCAAATGTAATTAACAATATTCGCATATAATACAATAATTAATTTAAAAGCATTATCAAAACCATAAATTAGATAAAATAATCCATTAATGCAAAACAATAGAAGGAAAACCCCTCTCCCTTTGACTATCCCCACCAGGACCATATAAGTCAGTCCCTCCAGAAATGACGTAGGCGAAACCCCTATAGAGCATGACAATTTAATGTTCACTGAACAAATTATTTGCGACATTAATGATGAATATATAATGGAGGACTCATCAAGGTAATAGTCAATTGTTTTTAATGTTTAAAGTTACGTACATGTAAGGTTTTTTTTATAAGAAAAAATGTATACTTTTATGTATGGATTAGGATAAATTTATGTGTATCGAAAATAATATGACATAGATCGTTAGACAAGTTAATTAAGTATAATAAGAAATTCTTTTTATAATTGTTGAATGTTAACTAATAATGAATTACAATTTTCCAGACTTGAAAATAGCCCTTAGTATGGTCGAAACGTCAAAATTAATGCGTATCAATAAAATGTTGGTGATAATTGGCCTAATTTATGTAAAAAATAAAATTTCTTTTACTATTTAATGTCACAGATCTTTTGGCCAGATGTTCTCTTTTCTTTTTCTGTACAATTTTTTTATTATTAAGGGACTTTGTCCCAAAGTAAAGTTATTTTTCTATTCTTTTCTAAAATAAAATTTAATTTGTTGAAATTGTCAAACTTGTTTAATCGAAACTATGCTTATAATGTTACATTGATATACACATATTAGAAGAGTTTTATAAAAATTGATATATCAGTAAAACATAACTACTATTCAGGCCTAAGTTTTCCATTGTACCGTGCAAGCACTTCTAAGTTGGAAAACTATGCATAAAATAATTTTTTTTCTAATTATTGTTTTTTGCCTTTTTCAGGTCGAATGTCATCCTTATTTAAATCAACAGAAATTAATAGATTTCTGCAAAGAAAAAGACATTTCGATAACAGCTTATAGCCCCCTTGGTTCTCCCGACAGGCCTTCAGCCACTCCAAATGACCCCGTTCTCCTCGAAGATCCTACCGTCAAGGATCTTGCGAAAAAATATGAAAAAACCCCTGCCCAGATTCTCATCAGGTACCAGGTAATTCATTTTTAATATTTATATCTTTATATGAAATAATTTTATCAGTGTTTTAAATATGTTATTAAATATTTTTCTAATAATGATTTAGATCCAGAGAGGTATACCTGTAATCCCTAAATCTGTTACAAAGTCAAGGATCGAAAGTAACTTTAAAGTATTCGATTTCACAATTTCCGATGATGATATGGCTAAATTAAATTCTTTGGATAGGAATTGTCGAATGGTCAATTTTGACATGTAAGTTACTTTCTCTTTTATACATATATTATTTACTGTATTTATTGACCATGTAAATTTATTTTAGAACTATTAACAAAATTAATTTTGTAAATTTTTTAATGCCCGTAGGTGTGACCAACATAAGGACTATCCTTTTACTAAAAATTAATACTCATTTTCTGAAATGAGAAGCAGCCTGTACTGGAAGAAGAATGAAAAATAATATAAAAATAAAATATATATTCAATAAGAAATAATACTTTTTAAAAAAGTAAAAAAAAAATTGTTTATATTAATTTAAATGTACTATTTTTAAAAAATCACAATACAAAAATAAATAGCGATCATATTGCAAACAAAAATGTCTTATTTAATTTTTAAACCTTTTATTTTCGTAACATTTTGATTTATTTATGTACACAGGCAGTTCCAAGAATGTAGGTAATTAATGACCGAAGAAAACATGACGCTTTGTGAAGACTTCATTTAGTAATTTTGGCTGTTATTGTGCGGAAAAGATCCTTACTATTTTTATATTTGAAGAGAACTTAATTAATGGTTGTTCCAATATAAGTCATATAAAAGTTTGAATCCTGAAAATATCATTACTATAACTGTCCAAAGTAATATATTATCAAGTTAATTTATATCCCATTCTTTTTAAACTTAAAAAAAAATATTTTTGGTTTATATTTACCAATCGCTGAGTAAAAAAGACATGTTACATGTTTGTACAATGATTACTATAGTCAAAACAGTGACTGATTGGAAACAAGGTGAAAAGTGAAATTGTGGTAAAACCATTTTTCTCAAAAAATGGCGATCCCGTGAGATTTGACCTCAAAAAATCTTAACAGTTGAATCACTTGCTGCTATTAGATGCTTAAAATTATTTACTTTTTATTAGTGCTTTATTTATGCTTTCAAGATTCTATATCAACTTAGTGTTTCTTTCTGGTTAATAACAAAATATGCTGCCTTGAATAAATTTTTGGTATGGTACACATGAAAATACTGATAATAACTAACATCTAACTGGACTGATTTTTTTGTGATTAAAAAATAAATAAATGAGTTTAGGATCAATTCAGTTAAATTCTTAACAGAAAAAATGTATTAAACAAATTTGAAATAGGATGATAATTTTAATTTTGCATCATGCCTTTAACTTAACCACTATTGATTTAAAAAAAATAATAATAATAAACACGAGTTTAGAGTTAATTTAATTAAATTTAAACAGAAAAATTGTATTAAATAAATTTGAACCAGGATAATGATTTTAATTTTGCCTCGTGACTTTGAAATGAACAGGAGACAATTCTTAATACAAAAAAAAAAATTAAATTTTAGGATTTATTGTCTATTTTTACTTTCACTTAACCAGATATGAAATATATAGAATGGGAAACTATGGTGATTGTATAAAATTTGTATCCAAGATTTCAGGAGAAATAAATGTTCAAATTATCCTGAGTTCAAGCCTTACAAAGTTATCTGTGGGTAGGTGATCAACCTAGCTAAATAAAAATGTATTAAAATTAAACCTTTAAGATAAGTGCATCAACGTTTTTGACAAATTTGACTAACAAGAAGTGTTATTTTATTTCATCGACTTGATACATTTTTATGATTTTCTCAGAAATAGCTCCGATGATTTTTATGAGTCTTTATATCAATGTACAATTAAATATTCTTGGATATCAAGAATAACATTGATAAAGTCTGAAAGGGCTTAAATACTGTATTTTCAAAATTTCTTCCACTAAAGTGTCTTCTAATTTGTTTATTTAAAATAATTAGCCAAATCTCATTGATACTATTAAGGAAAATTGGATTATTATTAACTATGAAGTACTTTAATAATTAACTAATGGAGAAAAAAAATGTGTATATATATATCTAATATGAAACTTCATATAAAGTACTATCTAACTTGCTTAACTGAGACATCTTATACCACATTTTCCTTGAATGAAGAATTACTTTAAAAACAAATATTTTAAAACATCTATAATAGTCTTGTTATTAGCTTAAAAATAATATCTAAAATAAAAATTTTTATAAAGGTAGTGGAACGTGACGAAACAAATATTTTAAAATTTCTGAAAAGTAATATAGTATAATAGACATAAATTGTTTCCATGGAAACTAAATAAAATTTCCATACTAAATGGAAGCTTTTATCATTATTTTTAAGATTGACAAACCAAAAATGTAATATGCTCAGAATCATCATTTCGGAATTGTAGGGTGAAGAAATATTTTATTGTACTTTCGTTAGAGGAGGTGAGAAGAAGTGTATGCTAGTGAAAATATTTCAAGCTATGATTGAAATAAAATGAATGGATTAGATTGAGCCATCAGATCTCAGATGTGTAACACTCGGATAAAGTCGACTAATTGAAATGTTTCTGCATATGGATTAAAATATCTCTGAAACTAAAAAGCAGAGATGCATATTGTAAGTGAGGGAAATTTTCATTATTTCATCCTCTGTAATGAGCTATTACTCAAAATTTTATCCTAACGCGACGCCATGTTAGAGAGGTGAAAAGAGAAAAAATAGTGCTGAAAACCAAATTATAACACATTTTATTGAAAATATGGATTAAAATATCTCTGAAACTAAAAATCGGACCTACTTACTGTAAGCCAGAGAAATTTTCATCTACTTTGTAATGAGCTATTATTCAAAATGTTATCTTAATGTGATGCTGAGTTAGAGAGGCGAAAACCAATTGATAACAAGTTTTATGAAGATATAGATTATCTAAGAAACTAAAAATTGATCCTGTATACTGTATGGGCGGAAATTGTTCAGCATTTCATCCTCTTTATAATGAGCTGTTATTTATAATTTATATTTCATATCATTAATCTCGCCTTGTTGATGTTTTCACTTCTATCGTGTGGTCTAAAGCACATACCTTAGTTGTTATTTTTTAATTAAAGGGTCTGTTATCTTCTGAAATTGTCCAAAAGTGAGTAGCTTCATATCAGAAGTGGCTATCTGTCATTTTCAGGAAGTTGAGAAAAAAACTAATTTCATTTTATAGCTTCAATTTGTACGAATTATGATGAAATTTTTTAAAAGAATTTTGAAGTTGAATTATTTAAAAAATCAACAATTTTTAAAGCTAAATAACAAAAAATGATATGACCACTTTTAATATGAAAACTCATATAAAGTACAGTTTAACTTACTTAACTGAGACATATTAGACCGCATTTTTCTTGAATAAAGAATTCCTACAACAAAAAAAACTTGTTTAAAATATCCATAATAGTCTTGTCATTAGGTTATATTTTTTTATATACTGCTATGTTCTTTAAAACTTATTCTAGTGTCCTTGTTTACACTTTTTGATTTTTTATTTGATAATAATGAAATGAAAAAATAATTTTATTCTGGGTCCACAGTCCCCTAATAATAATAAGTGTTACAAATTTATGAGTCTTAGTCTAGCTTAGAAGATTATAAAATACAAACTAACTAACTGTAGATTGTTATTGCAATTGTGCAGTTGATTAAATTAAACAGTATACGGATGCAAGTAATTCTATATGTTTGTGGAAGTTTGAATGTGGAGTAGGTGGTGGAACAGGAGTCCCACAAATGAAGGATTTGCTGAAGGAAGTTGTGTTATAGGAAAGAATATATAAATCTATAGATTGAGACCTGATATTAAGAGAATGGATTGAGGAACGTAAGGAATAGAGTAAGCAGTTCCAGAATGTAGGAAGGATTTATGGAAAGGAAGGAGGATTTATGGAAAGGTAGGGAGGACTCGGAAAAGGAAACCAACAAGGATGAATTGTCGTCGGGAAGTACACTTCAACTCAGTGTAGAAGAATGAACGCCTGGGGATCCCGAAGATGTATCTTATAAAACAGTTCATGAGTTTCTTCAGTCTCATTTCTAGCCTGGCAGATAGCCCGCCATACATCAAGCAGCTGTAGTCTAAGTGCTGGAATATAAGGGAAGTTACAAGTAGCTGTCTCATTATCTTAGGAATTGTTTAGGGATAGTTATGGATTTTCAGGTAATCTGGGAGATATGGTTATTCCAGAAGAGGTTCTGGCAAAGGTCACTCCTAGGTTTTTGACTGTATGGAAAAATGGATAGGATGGTTATTGAGGTAAAGGAGATGTACTGAACTAAGTTTCCAGAAAACAAAAAAATCTATCATCATTCTGCTGTTGGTCATCACATAGGTTATCGCTATCTTTTGCAATCTCTAAAACCTTTCATATATTTTATGTAAGTCATCAATCTCTAGAATCACTCATTTATTGTTAGTATCATATTTTATTTAGTCGACTTCCATTGCGAGGGCGTTTTCTGTATTTGACCAAAAATGGATTGAAAATAGCTTGTAAAAATTATATTTATGTTGTTTATCAACGCATGATGATTGAATTCAATGTTGAAAACGTTTTTGTACATTTTGATTTAATTAAAAACATGATGCCGCTGATTTAGCCCGAGCCAGATACCTATCCTTTCATGATAAACTCCAGTCCCATCCGAATCCACTTGTTTCCAGACTTGCTTCTTCCTCGATTCCTGATAATTCCCTAGGTGTCTGAAAAGAAGATGCCCACGTGATCTTCTCACCTGGAATTAAATAGGGAGTGCTACCACTGGACAGTATCTCTTCAAGTCTGTTCATGTTATTATTTCTAATGTTTGCATTTTTACTAGTTGTATAGTTTATACATTTGTAAATTTCATTAAATAAATAAATAAAAATAATTAAAAACATGGTGGCATCTGCACACTGTGTACCCAAAGGCACCTGTAGTTGCTATCCTCATTTCAACTAAAATTATCATTTCTTTAAACTTATTTCCAGATTAAAAATCATATTTAGGCTTGAAACACAGATTTAATCAAGACATTTTTTAAAAGATTATTTAAATTGACCATGTATATTGGAGGAATAATAATCTGTTAATATTTCTAAATTTTACTTATCATTGAAATATAAAAAAAAAACTAATGAATACATTATACATCTAAATAATTGTATAAATTAAATTTTTTTTTTTTTAAAACCTAATCTATTATTTAAATATAAGTGATTTATTATTTGATATGTTATCTGTTATTATTTCGAAACACACAGTTGAAAATAAGGTATTTTTTGCACTCAGTGAAGTGTAAATTTTTCTAATCGAATGCTTATATTTTTAAAAGATATTTAATCAAATAATCCCAAGAATTCAATAAACTTGAATTTTTAGTTGTCAGTTTTAAGGATGGTTTATTGAGCAATTTCTATGTTTCTTATCTCAAATACCATGATGATGACTATGTTTTTTCTGAAAATACTAGAGTGGCTGAAAAGTTTTATTTTTTTCTGGAGAGAACTTAAGTTGTTTTTAACTCTCTTCAACCATAAAAAAAATGTTTATAAACAACATTTATTACAAAAAAACATAAATAAAAATATCAAGGTATTCATTTAAAAGCATGAAAGTTATTTAACATGATACAAAAATTTTTACACTCTAAATAGTTTGGCTTTCCTTCCCTGATACTTTCAAGAGTCCTGTAACACCTCCAGATTTAAACCCTATTTAAAATTGAAGGTAAGATGAAGCAAGAAAAATAAAGAGATACATCCAAACATTTCATCAAAATTACTTTAAAAGTCAAGAATTGTAAAGATTGATGAAAATGAAAATATTTTTCATTAATTAATCATAAATCTAAAGTAGAGAATTCAGGATTTTATTTGGGAGAGGGGAGGCTTCAGCCCAAAAGTTTTTATATATATAACGATGTAGAGATGGTTGACTGTTGATATAATATGAGAAGGAGTTAGTCGGGGGTGCGGTCAAATAAATACTAAATTAAAATATAGTAATTATTTTAATTTTTGCCGACGTTTCGATCCACTTTGCAGGTCGTCTTCAGGGCTACAAAAGATACAAAACATGCTGAAAATAAAAAATAAATATAAGTAGATATAAAATAAGAAGTTGTCAGATACAGAAATAAAAGATGGTATCAGAAATATAGTCAGCCACTATATCTCTGATACCAGATATCTATTTAATTAGGTAACAAAAATTCCTAAACATTCCTTTGCTTTCCACTTGAAGCGTAAGATAACGAGCACAAAGGTGAGAACAAATGTGGCCCTAACAAAAAACAAAATTGAGCCGTTTGGCGTGACCTACACTCCCAAATTGTTAAAATAACGTGATTATATAGGCCAAACGGGTCAATATTTTTATAGGCCACCTTTTGTATCGATTTTGTGATCAAATTATCTTACGATCCTAGTGGAAAGCAAATGAGTATTTACGAGTTTTTAGTGCCTAATTAAATAGACAAAATTTGCCCCGATTCCCGATTTCCCAATCCCGAGAATTTTCGTAAATATTTTATCTGGTATCAGAGATATAGTGGCTGTCTATATTTCTGATACCATCTTTTATTTCTGTATCTGACAACTTCTTCTTATTTTATATCTACTTATATTTATTTTTTATTTTCAACATGTTTTGTATCTTTTGTAGCCCTGAAGACGACCTGCAAAGTGGGTCGAAACGTCGGCAAAAATTAAAATAATTACTATATTTTAATTTAATATTTATTTGACCGCACCCCCGACTAACTCCTTCTCACATATATATAACGATTATTACTTTGATAAAAAAAAGAAAGAAACAAATTACCTATATGAAATGGTGTGTCTTGAAGTCCAATTAAATATAATTATGAGAACAATAATACTTATAGAGATAATTTTTACTTTTTTTTCATAAGACATTGTCATATTTGTCACCTCCCCTTCATTTCCACTTGTGCCAACCTATATACATTGATAAATGTCACTTGAGTATAAGTTTAATAAAAACAAGAAGAGAAACCTTTATTCAAATTTTATAAAAAAAATATGAATATTGTTATTTTTATTTCTAGTTTCGGAACTAGTTCTGTTTCGCTACACCAAGATGGTGAGAAGTTTCAAGATTCAAGGTCACCAAAAGCATGCTACTCCTTGATTTTTAAAAACACCCCAAAATGTTCAAAAGAAGAGAGTACCCCCCTCCTGTAGATTTGACTGTGTACCATTTTATAAGGGAAATTTTCATTCAATGAGAATAGTCTTTAATAACAGTTAGAATAAATCGAATTGAGATAACTTTAATACTCATTTTATTATAAGCTCATGAATAATTTAACATTCCACAGGTTTTGATATCGTTATCACAACATTATTTACGAAGTACCTTTCCTTCCCACCACAAAAGAAGAGAAAAAAATAACCGATCGATTCTTACGATAAAGAAACATTATGATTGAATAATATTTGTTTCGAGATAACACTACTATGTTATCACCTAAGAAATGTTTTAGATAAAGTTAACTTTCTACAATCGAGGCGAATAATTCAAGGTTAAAATTCTTGGGATGCTGTTAATTATCTTATATCACAAATTAAATTATAAATAAATAATATTAAGTGTCCACGTTTCTGTTTAGAAATGTGCCTAATCATGCCCTTCCTTCACAGAAGAAAAACAATTAAAAAGTAAGAATTTTAACTGATAACACTTTATGTTCATTCGGATTTTACAGCTATATGGACAAATTGTATTACTTACCTAATTATTACCACCTTATAGTCCGTGGTACAGACATTTTGACTCTTTTTATCAAATTATTAATATCCAACTGAAACTTATTGAATAGTTTCATGTCATCGTAACCTACAATTATTTTATTTACGAAAATTCTCGGGATTGGGGCGTTTCAATGGGGGCAAACTTTGTCTATTTAATTAGGCACTAAAAGCTCGTAAATACTCATTTGCTTTCCACTAGGATCGTAAGATAATTTGATCACAAAATCGATACAAAAGGTGGACTATAAAAATGTTGACCTGTTTGGTCTATATAATCACGTTATTTTAACAATTTGGGAGTGTAGGTCACGCCAAACGGCTCAATTTTTTTTTTTTAAGACCACATTTGTTCTCGAATTTGTGTTCGTTATCTTACGCTTCAAGTGGAAAGCAAAGGGGTATTTAGGAATTTTTAGTACCTAATTAAATAAATTAAGTTTGCCGACCTACAGATTGAAAATGTCACAATCACGAAAATTTACGAAAATAAAATACTTGTAGGTAACGATGAGATGAAGCTATTCGCGAAGTTTCGGGCGAATGTTAATAATTTGGTAAAAAGGGGTCTGTATTACGAAATTTATGGAATACCAGCCTCCAAAATGGTAAAATTAACCATGTTTTATGAAATAATATTAAAAAATTATCTCTAAAAGTATTATTGTTCATGTAATTACATTTAATAGGACTTTAAGAACCACTTAAACACTATTACATATAGGTAGTTAGTTTCTTTCTTTTTCTTCCAAAGTAATTATCGTAATATATATATAAATCGAGTTAAAGTCCTCCCTCTATGTAGATAACTGGATAGAAATAGTTAAATATATGTAGAGCTTGAAAAAGCTGGACCTGGCAGCAGAACATCCACATTTGTAAATCTAACAGAAAAAAAAGAAGATAATTTACACCTTTTACGGGAGTAACATGAAAAACTACCGAGTAGTCATAATGATATTCCAAAAATTAAAAAATAGTATTCTTTTAATTATTTTTACAAGAATGCAAAAACTCTTCAATAAGACTTTTATAGATGGTTTTCATGTAAAGACCCATTATTTTTCCATTAAAGTGATTTTAAGTTTTCAAATATGTCCTTGTTTAGCCAAATAGTTAGTACACAGTGTTTAAAAAAACATTAAAAATGGCATTAAACGTCTCGTATATAATAATAATTAATTACCTATAAAAAATTATTTACATTTTCTGTATATTATCTTCCTCTTCTGTATTGTCTACAGTATCGACGAAGTTTTAATAAATTTATCAGAATAACATTAATTGTAATAATAATTAGAAGAATAATGTGTAAAAAGTTTGCATAATCGTTATTTCAAACGTTGTTTATTTGACTAATTAAACAAATAGCTTATTAAGTACTTTGAAACTGGTTTTGATAACAGTTATCACATCAAGTGTAGGTTTTGAATCTCGCCGGCCGAAAACAACTTGTGGATTAACATTTTTGACATTTGATTAGAATAATCTGTTGAAATGCCTTCTAAGGTGCCTTTTATTAAATTTAGTAACAACGTTGAATATCCATTACTTGGATTGGGGACATGGAAGGTAAGTAAATATATTTTTGGGGAATATATTATTGCCAAGTTAGTTGTTTGAGTCCTTCAATAAGTTCTTGCAGGCTTCTAATTTGATTCCTGTATTTTCAGTGTTTCTAGATGCAGTGATTTTTTATTGTTGTAAATAACATAAAACATTCCTGTTTTCCTTTTCAATATCTACCTCACTATAGAAACCATTACTATAGAATCTAATGGTTTTTAATGATGTGGTTATAAGCAGAATGTTTTTTGCTACCTTTACAAAAAATACTTCACAGATGTCACTTTAATCTGGTTGATTTACCTCAATGTGAAAAAAGGAGACAGAACAACCGTTCCCTGATCTCAACTGAAAAAGACTCCTTATATCCTATTTATATCCCTTTTGTATGTTAAATAGTAACTGCCCTATTCAGGAATATAATCTTGTATTATTTGGATTGCAATATTCGGCTCTTGCTTACTAAAGTCTCTTAGAAGTGATATGCAAATTGTTTTTACTATTTAGTTATGATTAGGGCTTTGTTAAGTGTATTAGTCACTTCTTTCTACTTTCGGAAACTGCCATTTTTGAGATTGCATCTATTCTTTTATCGATATGATATTGACCTAGCTTCCAAGTTGGAGTGACACTTGTGAGATAGTTTGTTATATTTGTTTATTATTATAATTATATATCATTGATTAGGAATCTATTACTAACTGATATTTTAAATTTCATTAGTCAAAACCTAATGAAGTTTACCAAGCTGTTAAGGATGCTATAGACATTGGATATCGTCACTTTGATTGTGCACATGTCTATCAGAATGAAAAAGAGGTAGGAGCTGCCTTAAGTGAAAAAATTAATGCAGGTGACGTTAAACGAGAAGAGCTGTTTGTCACTAGTAAGGTATGCTGAATATATATCTTAGTTTATTTCTTTAATTTTTTTCCCCTTCTAGAAAGTTAATATTTTAATATAATGTATTTCAGCTATGGAATACTTTCCATAAAAGAGAACTGGTTGTGCCTGCTTTGAAGCAAACATTGGAGAATTTAAAGTTAGACTATATTGATCTTTATTTGATTCACTGGCCCTTTGGTTTAAAGGTTTGTACAGCTTCTTACCTATTTTTGTAGATAATTTATTAAGATTTGATGTTGATTTTATATAATTAAATGGTAAAACGACATATTTAAAAATCTATTTATAAAACTTCTTACAATAATAGAGTATCGATCACATTATTCAAAAAGTAGGTTGAATATAAAAGTAGCTTTGTCGACAATTATATTTATGGATGGGTTCGGTATGTTCTCTGAAGGTTTAAACAAACCTCTTTATTTTTCTTATGTAAGGTTGAGGCCTTGAGTATACATTCAAACATACTCAGGATTTTTTTTTTTAAAACTATATTTAAACTAAAGGTATTCAATTTTATTTCTTTATGTTTATTAGTGTGAATGAAAACTATGGATTTGTATTATCAATAATTTTGAAAAATGCCTGTTATTTTAGGAAGGTGATGAATTGTTTCCCAAAGATGGGGAAGGCAAATTTCTGTACAGTGATTCCAGCTACATCGAGACTTGGAAGGGGATGGAAGATTGTGTCAAATTAGGACTTGCGAAATCCATTGGGCTGTCTAATTTCAATAGCAAACAGATCAAAGCAGTTCTAGAAATAGCTGAAATCAAACCAGTAAACAATCAGGTACTTTATCTCATTTATTTTTTGTTGGGCATTTTTATGAATTTACAATTTTTATTTGTTGATGAAGATTATTATTATTATATTAAGTTTATAATAATAAAAACTTAAAAAGAAATAAAAGATAATAAGCTTTAAAGAAAATGGTGAGGATGGAGCTATGTGATGTGATGACAAGGCTACATCATGACCTGTCAGCAAAGATGGGCTAAATCGGAATCAATGATTACATGATTAAAACTGAAAATATTACTTAACGATTATTCCAATTTTATACTTGATAGCACAGTACTATAAATATAGCAAAGATTGGCAGACATTATGTGACAACAGCCTTCCAAATAAACTAAAGGTGATAAACAATGAAGTGAAGCCATGGACCGGTTCTAGTCCCTGTAAACACAGAGAGGAAGTTGTCCTTACACGACTAAAGTCGTATCGAAACCGAATACCAGGCTTATGCACCTTTACTTAATTACAAAAGAAAACCCGCCCAGTTGTCGCAAGTATGGAGAGAGAAAGTAGTCCATATTTTTGAGAGTTGTTCCTTTTACATCAGAGAATTAAACAAAAGAGAAATACCAGCAAATACATCAACTACTTTGGGAAATGATGAAAAAATCCTGAGTAAAATCATACGTTTTCTCTTTGAAGAAGGAATCTTTAAAAATCTGTGAAGTTCTCACTCAGCACTTCCCCCCTCTTTTTTTTTTTTTTTACTTAACATGATAACTTTAAATGAACTTAACTAATTTAATTTTATTCCTGTTATTCACAACCAGAAGATATAGTTATATATAATCTAAATTAACGGTGTTGATAACCAACAGATTTTATGCCTTTACTATACAACAACCAACCAAATATTGCAAAGATGTGACATGATTACCTGATTATTAGTCATAATTGGAAACCTGATCACTGAATCGTATTCAATAATTACTCGTAATCGTTGATTATGATTATGCCCATCTGTTCCTGTCAGTACCTAGTTCAATTCATTATGTTATACTTATTTGTTTTTACTATTGTATCTCACCTTTGAAAAGCTCTGATTTCGATTTTTTAGCTTAACATGAACCTTTTTTTTATTATTTAAAATTCCTTCAATACTTTCCTGATTTTGTGTTTTATCAACTGTACGCTTGTATTTATATATATTTTTCTTGTTCATCACTGCAATCTTCATCTCACTGGCAGATTTTTATAAAGCTATAAAGACCTCTCAATCCTTAGCAGTAAGGCCTTGTCTTGTCAGACCAAATTCCAACTTTATTAAACACTAATAGGACTCGTATTAACCAATGCTACAGAGACATAGACCCTGAGTAGTTTAGAAGAGAAAGAACTTAGCTTCGAACGAAAGATTTTGTCCTGTATTTTTGGTTCCATTAATGAAGAGAATCATTGGAGGTGGCGCTATAATAGAGAGGTACACGAACTCTTTGGAGAAGTGAACGTCATTAGTTTTATTAAGTGTGGTCGACTGAGACGCAGATGCAGGCCATGTAGCAAGGATGAACAAGGAAAAAATCCTTAAGAAACTGCTATTGGGGAAACTGGACTGGTCGAGATAAAGAGGAGGCTAGGGTCCACATAGGGCTGTAGTGCCGTTAGAATGTATAAGAACCTCTCTCTCATAATAATCATCAACAAATCCTAGAATCTGGTCTAGTATAGTAAAAATAAAAATTGTTTACTGCGGTATTATTTCGGATAGCAACTCTAGCCATCTAGAGTAATTTATGTAATTATTTAAAGTTGAACATTTAAACATTTTAGTTAGATATTAACTTTTCTGTTTTGAAATTTCAATATACAGAGTTTACCTGGTGAAAATATAAGGTTCCTAAAAAGAAAATTATTGATGTTTTTTGTTTATTAGATGGGAGGGACTAAATATTTTTTTTTATCATTTTCAGGTTGAATGTCATCCATACCTGAATCAGTCTAAGTTGATTAAATTTTGTCAAGAAAATGATATCGTCGTAACTGCCTACAGTCCACTCGGGTCACCCGATCGACCTATGGCGAAGTCTGATGACCCAGTGCTAATGGAAGACTCCAAGTTGAAAGCATTAGCTGAGAAATACAATAAAACTCCTGCTCAGATTCTCATAAAATATCAGGTGATAATTTATGTATTTATGTCGTTGATTGAGTTTTGTTTTAGTTAATATTAACCATAATATTAAAACGATTTATTTTAATATTTTTCTAATTGTAGTTTAATTTAAGAATAATCCTTTGATGTCAAAACTATAAAATATTGGTTACAGCAAGTTTATATATGTAATATTTATAATCAACCATTCCAATTAAAATGCCTTAAAAATGTCGTTAAACCCATCTTTTATGAATCTAAAGAGATGTTACACGCTGACCTTGACATTCCTTTCATCATAGCAACTGCCACAAATTATTGCAATAATTTCCACAACTGGCTGACTCTAAATAATAATAATAATTGCTTATTGTCTGTCTGGAAGACTATTGAGGCGCTATCCCAGAGACTTGCTGTATTAAGTTTCTTATTTTGTTTTTAATACTAATTTTTTTTTATTCATTTGACTTTACCTTTGTAAATGTTTACATGACTTTGTTTTTCATAAGACAGCAAAAACCAAATTTAGATATATTTAAATTTATTTATAACCCCATTGAATGCAAAAGAGGCGGTCTCATGTGTCCCACCTTTACGAGTTAAAGTGGCTCTTCCTTTCTTTCCGCAGACAATATTTCCTTGGATCTTTCCTATTCCAAATGATCAATACCTGACACCCTTCTTACATCTACAGTCTCCTACAGTTCAAACCCGTGGTCCACTCCTAGAAAACAAGATCCCGTGTTTCCGAACTTTATATCCCTTCCCATAGAACTAAAACATTTGAATATTCCTTTATTGCTTGATCCACTGCCTTCTGGAATTCCTTGGCATCTGAAATCCGCCATGCCTCTTCCTTGTCCTCATTCAAATATCATCTCTACCAATTCCTTCTCACATCCCAAAATGACGTTGTACAATCAAATTATGAATCAAATTTTGACTGAGGTGAATGGTTGTTGAAATTGTTTGAATTTGAATTTTAAAAATCAATCCATAGTTCTTATAATATTTTTTTTTATATTTTACCTAATTTCTGTTTTTATTTTCATTTAAATAATCATTTTCTTTTCATTTTTTTCTAAATGGTGTTACTTTTTATTTGTTTTAAAATACTTTCACTGAAGATACTGTATATATTCTTTAATTTTGATTAATGTAATTTTTGGCCAGATGAGGTTTTTATTTTTTGTCCATAATTGTTATTCATAAGGCACCTCGTCACAGAATGAAGTATGTTTTCTATTCTATTCTATTCAATTCTAAAAGTGGTTTAAGTCAAAAACTAAAGCACTGAGTATTCAACATTTCAGTAGAAGTTTTATAAAGATTAAGAATGATAAGAAATAACTGCATATTTCCATTGTTGAAAATAGGCAGTCTCTAGCATATTGAACTATTTAAAAGCATGAATTTAATTCCCTTAATGATCAATTTTAATGAATTTCAATCAACATATTTTTATTGGGTTATCTGACGATTCAACCCATACATGTAGGTCATTCTCAGGACTATCGTTTTGAAGTGTAGACAAGAACTATTGAGTTTTTGGTGAGTCGACTACTTACTCATCTTTAATGATAAATTAATTATTTATGAAAAGTACATCACTTTTGCTTATAAAGGTTCTAGTGGCCCAAACTGATTCTAAATATCTTATTTAAAAAATATTAAATTTTCTAAAGTGATATTAGGTATTTGTCTAGAATCTGGTCGGGACGAAAAATCCCTTCTTATCTTATCCTATGCCACATAACCTCCCTTCTTATCTCATGTAAGTTGTGAGTTATTACATTGTGGGAAATGCTGTCTTCAGAAGAAGAGGCTATCGAATATTTTCAAAACGCCAGGATAATTGCAAAGGTGAAATTCTTTCAAAAAGGTCATGAAATGAAGTTCGACAAGAAGACAAAATGGAGATGCTTTTGTACTACTTGTAAGAAAAACGTATCTATAAGGAAGGGAACGTGGTTAGAGGGGTCAAAGATTTTGTTTTCAACGACTTTAAAATTAATTTATGTGTGGTCTCATAATTTAACAACGATACAGTGGCGGAAAGATTTGTTTATTGTTGTGGGAATTATTACATTTGTTTTTGTCTATTTCAATTTCAAATCAAACTGTTTTGTTATTATTAGATTTGTTTTCGTCAATTTCAATTTCCATTAATATGACATTTGTTTTTGTCTATTTCATTTGTCTATGTTGTAAAATAAAAGTGTTTTTTTATTGTTACATTTCTTTTTGTGTTTTTGAATTCCCATAAATATGACATTAGTTTTTGTCTATTTCAATTTCCATAAATATGAATATGAAGATAGGGATTTTCAGTGCCTTATCACAAATATCGGTGTTCAAGTTATAAACATTGGCAGATAGCAGTTGTTCCCGATCAGATTCTAGACAACTATCTAATTTTAATTGAAAATTTGTAAAATAAGTTCTTGTCTATTGCAAATTAAGAAAAGTTGAGGTTGTAGATTAATTGTAATTTTTGGATTACGTGAAATAATTTGATTGTTTTCATGGCAATAAAATAGCTTGTTTATCTATTATATGAAAAATCTATCAAGAAACCCAAGACTGAATTCTTCACAGTTAATGGATTTAATAAATTTTAATTTATTATATATTACACTACAACAATTGTTAGCATCTATTTACTTCAGTTTATGATCTTGTTACTCAGCTTACTTTGTTCATATTTTATTGTTCTTACTGTTTATAATTTTAATAAGCTTACTCACATTGTTTATAAATTATGTCTAAATATTATGTAACTGAAGGTGGGAAGATTGCATTAAAGCCGATCTGAAGGGACTGGGTTTGGACGGCGAACGGTGGAGGGAGGTGTGTAACAAGCGATTGGTGGTGTCGGCATCGAACCTTCGGGTTCGCTAAGCCTTATTATTATTATTATTATTATTATTATTATGTAACTGCCACAATTCTCTATCTTTTTGTATCTTGTCCGTTCTAGTTCTGAAGAAGACCTGCAAAGTCGGGTCGAAACGTCGGCTTTCAATAAAATAGTTTTACCACTATTTAGCCTATTTATGACTGCAACCCCGGACCATCTCCTTCCTTTAGAATGCAACGGTCAACTATTAAATATTCAATTTAATAAATTTGTCTGAAATTATTAGAATCTGATTTCGAGTCATTTTTTTTAGTGTATTATTTTTTTTAATTGATTGTACTTTTTTCATTGGTGTAAATGGGTCAATATTCAGATGAAACTGTATTAAATATAGCCTAATTTGAAACTTAAGCTGAATTTACTAATAAAAAGAGCAGATTTTTTTGGTCGGGAAAAGTAAAATACAATGTTGGAAAAATAATGATTGATTCCTTTTGATATAACATCATTGATTTAATATAAGAATGTATATAAGAAACGTTTTAGAGAATGAATTTTTAACCTTAAAAACTGATCATTGCCAGAAAATTTAAAAAGAATTTTAGAAATATATCAATTTATGTATCTCAATAATAAAAAATCAATCTTAATTTTATTTATTTTTGAAAATATTTGTTGCAAAACTTACGGGTTTACCTTATAAACTATTAGCTCTAGGTAATAGGAATGGTAAAAACAAAATAATAACTATAAAAAGAATAAACTTTATAATAAATATATTTTAATTAGAGTAAAAAAAGCTGTTTAATAAAACTTCCTTATTTCCTATAAACTATTTATAACGTTTTTAAAATTAAGTTGTAGCATTAGAAATCGTAGCATACAAATAAGTAGCTGTGAACTTGCATGTCTTCATAAATACATGCAGGCTTCGTCTGACCTGAAAAATAATTCCTTTTTATTAAATGAATTTGCTCTACTATTTTATTTATAACTTGTCATGATTGTAACCTAGTTTTTCATTTATATCTTATGTAGATTTTTTATGAGGTTTTTCCTACTCTAAAAAATGGATTTCAATTTTCTAAGTAGCATTCAAACCACTAGTATGTCATGTGTAAGGTTACTGCAACCACAAACATATAATTTATCATTATGACATGATGTGATGTATATAAAAATAAATAAATAAATTTAAAAAAAACAAAAAAACTTGTCATTTTTGTGAAGTTGTATTTTCTAAGATATTCATATAATTTTTATTTCCCAACAAAAACTTACAGAACAAAATTTCTTTATATCACTGCTTGATAAAGATAGCCACAACAGGGAGTGGGGTAGCCTTTAAAGTGGTTTTGTGTGTTTTGAAAACTGGGGGTTTTGTGTTTGGTGGGTAAAATGGTTGTTTTGTTTGGGTTGGGTGGGTGTGGTGGTTGGGGGGGGGTTGTGGGGGGGGGTGGGGTGGGGGGTTTGGGGGGGGGTTTGTGTGGGTGGGGGGGGTGTGGGGTATTTGTTGTATTTGGGTTTGGTGGGGGTGTGTGGGTGGTTGTGGGTTGGTTGGGGGGTGGGGGGGGGGTGGGGTGGGTGGGGGGGGTGGGGGGGTGTGGGGTGGGTTGGTGTGTTGTGGTTTGGGTGGGGTGGGGTGTTGGTGGTGTTGTGGTGGTGTGGTGGTGGTTGTTGGGTGGGGGTGGTTGTGTTGGGGTTGTGTTGTGGGGTTGTTTGTGGTGGGGTTGGTTTGTGGTTGGTGGTGGGGGTTGTTTGGGTGGGGGTGTGTTGGGGGGGGTGTGGTTTTGGTTATGGGTTGGTTGGGGTTGTTGTTTGGTTGGTGTGGTGTGGGGGTGTGTGGTGTGTGTTGGGGGGTGGGAGGGTTGTGGGTGGGTGGGGTGTGGGTGGTTTGTGTTGTTGGGGGGTGGTTGGTTGTGGGTTGGTGTGTGGTTGTGTGTGTGGGGGGGTTGGGTTGTGGTGGTGGGGGGGGTGTGGTGGGGTTGTGGGTTGGGGTGGGGGGGTGGTGTGTTGGTGGGTGGGGTGTTGGGTGGTGGGGGGGTGGGTTGGTGGGGTTGGGTGTTGTTGGTGTGGTGGGGGGTTGGGTTTGTGGTGTTGGGTGGTGGGGGGTGGGGGGGGGGGTGGTGGGTGTTGGGTTGTGGTGGGTGTGTGGTGTTGTTTGGTGTGGGGTTTGTTGGGGTTGGGTTGGGTGGGTGTTGGGTGTGGGGGTTTGGGTGTGGGGGTGGTGTGGTGGTTGTTGGTGTGGGGTGGTAGTTATTGTGGTTGGTGATTGTTTTTGGTGTGGGGTGGTTTTGTGGTGGGTGATTTGGGATTTGTTGTGGTTTGAGGGGTTGTGTATGGGTTGTTTTTGATTAGGAGGGTGTTTGGGGTTTTTTTGATTCATGGTTTTTGTTTGTAGGTTTTAAAAAATTGGGCAACCCATTGAATGAATAAAAAAAATAATTTAAAAAAAAAAAAAAAAAAAAAGTCTTTTGTATCAATTGTCGGTTCTTAACATCAGTTTCAGACTGAACTAATCATTTATTAAGGTAATTTCTCGTTTACTCTGTGTTTAAGAGGTTAAAGACGACCAGAAATACATTTTTTTATCCTTTAATCTAGTTAAGTCTCCAATTAGATAAATCAAAGAGTAATTTTTGAATCTCAACTTAGCAGCCGGCCTATAAGCTGTATTCAACCTATCTTTTGTTATTAATTAACTCTCTATCGAAGCATATAATATCTTGTTAGTATTAACAAAAGTTACAATATTTTAGCAGTGGCTACAATCTTGTTTAGTAACATCTTCTCTGGATCTTATAATTTTTTATTTAGTATCTCATATATAAATATAAGCATTTGTAAATAGCATATATAGTGTATCTAAGATAAGTTTGTGTGTAGGGGAAGGGAGCTCAGCGCAGCGCAGCTTTCCCCCACACAAGTTCCACCTCCCCAAGACCTCTCTCCAGCCCCATTTCCCCTCTTCACCATAGCAACCACCTTATATCATGAAAGCATTATTCCATTTTCTTCAAATTTCACACAAAGGTTGTATCAAAGGTATGGATTTTAGTTTAAAAATAAAATAAAAAATGGTAAGGATGGTTAAATAATCAAATTAAGAAAAAAAAAAAAAAAAACTTCCAGCCTCTGTTTTCATAAATTACATTTTTTGTCTGAGAGTAGATAGTTTTCTCTCTACCCAGTTTACTTGAATAAACGAAAATTGATAAAAGAAATTAAAAAAAAAAAAAAAAAATGAAAGAAATTTCTACTTGTAAAAAAAATTTTAGAAGTACGTATGGATGAGTAGAGAAGAGAAAAGAGTGGAGGATTGGCGATAAGATGTTTTGCCATTGCGCATATCTCTCCCCCTCTACCCACCTGCAAACTTATCTTAGATGGAGTCTACCTTCAGATTAATTAAATCATTATAAAAATCTAAATATACTATTAAATTAAAATGATACATGCAATGTTGTAGTTTAATTGAAATTGAAGCTATGAATATGTAGCATGTTTTAATTTGAATAAATGACGATCATGAAATGGTTATTCAACTACAAGAGATGAACATTTTAAAATTTTGTTTTAGGTATTTTTGTAATGATAATCTTGAAATAGTGATATCGGCTGGCTTCATTACCATTTTATTATTGTTAAGAAATACCCATAAAATCAAGCAATGAAATTTTCGTAATCATAGATATTATTCTTAACTCAGATTTCAGGCTATAAAATAAGATATAAAAAAAACTGTACCACTACAACCCATGAAGGGTCTTGGTTCAATACTATATAGGGAAAGCACTGTTACTTGGTCTATGGTTGTGCAAGGAGATGATTTCAGCTAGATCATGCTCCAACGCCAGGTTTTTCCCCTTAATCAATTATTTTAATTAAGGGTACCCACTTTATAGAGGCTGGGTGTGCTCCTAGAGGGTCTACCTATCGAAGGTCACCCCACGGCTTATGGAACAGAATAAATAATTTTTCTACCATGAACCGGGATTCGAATCTGGGACCTTCAGCATTGGAAGCTCAGTACCCTACCACTGAGCTTGTACAGTACCCACTCTCCAAAATAAGATATAAAAATTTACTAATAATATCAGTTTATTAGCAATGATAAAATATATATTAAGTATCTATCTAATACTTTCTTGCTTTCATATTTTAGCTTCAGAGGAATGTTATAGTCATTCCAAAATCTGTTACAAAAAGTAGAATAGCCAGTAACTTTGAGGTATTTGACTTCGATATATCACCAGAGGACATGGATATATTAAATAGCTTAAGTAAGCCCAACGGTCGTATGGTCTGCGTAGCACAGTAAGTATATGCTCATTGTATTAAATTTTGAAGTGAAATTTATTAGAATCGTATTACTGTCTACTTTTTTTTTTTTCAGTTATGGTGATCATCCAGATTATCCATTTGTTGAAGAATTTTAAAGATTTCATTATGAAGATAATTTATACAAAAATACTTATTTAATATTATATGTTTTATTATATTATGTTGTGTATTAAATACAATGTTCTATACAGTATTGTTATTTTTAAAATTACTATTATATTAAATATATTACATTTCTGTATCATATTCCATTTCTCCGTGTTCTTATTATTGAATATTTATTACATTATTTAAATATCCAAAATAAAGCCTTGGATTTTTAAAATAGAGGTAAACTACCAGACAAATGCACATCTCAATCCAAGGCTAAAAAAAAGACTATTAAATAGAGATAGTATATTATTCTGAGATAGTCAAATATATTGTCCATATGGATGAAGATTGTTACCTCTCACAATTGACAATAGATATATTTATAAAACTTTATGTTATGTAGTTTGGAAATTTTATCGAGAAAATCATTGGTTTTTTATAAATAAAATTCCATTTTCTTCCATAGAATTTCATTATTTTTATTTTTAATATACAGGGTGTTACTTAAATAGATCAAATTTTTATTTTATTCATGATTATGACTTAAACGATGATTTTATCTTCAGTGCTCTCTCTTTAAATCATATCTCATTTCAGGCTTTTTTAAATATCAATAAATATGAAATTTATCTTTCATGGAATTGGAGATGTTTTAAGAACAGAAATATATATTTTTTATATTTTAAAACTTGCTATTTTTAGTTGTTTTTTTTTTGTTAACTAAATTTCAACATTTCCTCTTTGATTACTTGTGTATAGTGTAAGGGAAGATGGCTAGATTATATTTTCTACCAACCTGGGTAATTGGTTGTCTGAGGTACCAAGAGTAGTTAGGTTTGCCACATCCCTGATATCATACAAACATAATTATTATAATTTTAATAAATAAACAATTTAAAATTAAATGTAATGAAATAAGAATTGTTTCTTTTTTTTCAGTATTTTTGTATGTGATTTAGTAGAGCAAAGAAGATGCTTTACCTGTTAGCAATAGTATTTTTGATACTATTTCGCCAGTGTAAATTCTGATTGATAAATAGGTTAGAATCATATAAATCATACTCTAGATGGTATCCTAAAAATAGACAAATATTCTATATGTATACAGAACCAACCAATCTCAATTGAAAAGAATACATTGTGGATTTGTTTAATAAGAGCTGCTTTTGGAATTCCATCTAAAGTATGATCGATGTGATCTTGACCCTTACGTCAGCCAGAAGTGATTGATATATATGAACTAGTATCATTTTCCTCCCAAAAGGTTTCCTGCTTATCTCTTGTATTATTGCAGCTGATACTATCCCCATTTATTTATTAAGGGTTTAGATTAAGCAGTGCAGATTTCTTCAATACACTGTATATTTAAAATACTTTATAAAGTAAATATCATGCTCACATTCCTCTGATAATAAATTCTCACATGTGCTTGTTAATTCTCCCAAATTTAAGTCAATGAAGAAAATTTGTTTAAAGGCAAAATGATAGTGTTATTGTCAATTGGATTTTATTTATACATATCATTATCGATATGTATTAATTACTGGAAAGTTATAAGTACTTAATAGTTGTTTTTTTTTTTATCATGAGCTGTTTTTCTAATTAAGAATGAAAGATAGAAACAAAAGTTGTAATACTTTTAAGTTTAGCCTCATTAAATTAAAAATGAGTGTCTTAAAGCTTGGTTTTGTTGATTGTTTGATTGATTACTGACTTTATAATGTTTAATGCCATTTTTTTTTCTAACATTTGCTTCAATAATAAATGAATTTATTCTAGAGTAAAGCAAGAAGTGTTTTGTTCTGATGATGAATAATTTCTGTACATTTCAACAGAAATTGGATTCATTAAAATTCAATATAATCATGATTATTTTATATAAGTGGTTATTTTTTCTCTAAATATTATATTCTTGTATAATACATATAACCCTAATGTAAATAGGCCTTGGAGATATGAATAAAAACTGTACAAAATTCGTTTTAATCCCCTTAATTTTGGAGAGTTACATATTTTATATTTAATTTTTTTTTTGTTTTGTATTGTATTCTCATTTTAGAAATAATTATGTTGAATAAATATGTAATGTATTTTCTCCGTTTATCTGATCTGCTCCTTACTCCTAACTTCGTTGGAATAATGCTCTTTGAGAGTTCCACCGTTAGGACTGGAGTATTGATCTAGAGGTGCGCTCACCACTTGTAGGAAATTATAAAAAAATATAAAGCGTATGAGAAAAAATAATTTTAGTCTTTTAATAAAGCAACTGAATTGTAGATACAATACAAAGTAATATACAACAATTAAAGGAATTAATTTCAATTTGTTTTTAGGAAGGAGTAAGGGGCACTTAAGAGATAACTGCCTAGTGGCATCAAATGTCTTAGGCGCTGTTCTTTGATGTTGATTCTTACCAATTGTTTATAGTTTAAAGTAATATTTCTTTTAAGAAATGGCTAATATACTGTGAAATTATGCAAAGCAAACCATTTTAAAGCAACAATTTCAATGTCTGAGTTGAAATGAGCTTCTAACGTCTCACTAAAAGTGAGCTAAATCATTTTTTAAAAATTAGATTAATGAAATAGTTTGAAAAAATCCTGTGGAACTAACATGTGTCTATCAAAAATATAAATACACTTTTAAGATCGTTGACTGTATATTCTAGTTAATGTGTGTTGTAAGACTTTTCCTGAACTGCAAGCAAAATAAGAAAAATATGTGAAAAAACTGCTTTTCATGTGTAAAGAAGAAATAATATGAAAGATGAAGGCAAATAAATTTTATGAAAAATACTTTTATATTCATGGTGTTTATTTATTATATAAGCATTCAATTTTTCATCTTTATTACTACATTGTAGTTTTTAAATTTGATACCGGATTAGCAGCCCAGAATGAGACTTACAAAATAGGCCAAAGCACAATTTACTATATTTTATTTTAACCTAGGTTAATTTGTTTTTTATTGAATGCCATATTACTTCGAATATAAGAACTCTTGAATTTAAGACCCCTGTTTTCATTGGTACAGTATGGATTTTAATAAATTAATTAATGATGAAATATTAGAATTTTGGAACATTGGAAAAAGAAATTTTTTTGAGCATTATTTTTTATGCAACATTGTCACATTCAAATTCTTATTATTCCATTTTTTATTTATTTGTGTGTACAAATAAATATAACCCCAAACAATAAAAAATAGCCGCCTATATTTTATGTATTAATTTTTAGGTTAAAATTTTATTGTGGAAATTCACCTATTATTGTTAATGTGTTTGTGCTTAATGTCTTCATGTATTTCAACAAGGGCAGATTATCTTATAGGTGAAAGTCCGTGGTACAGACCTCTTTTTATCGAATTATTAACATCTGTCTGAAACTTCGTAATAGTTTCCTTGTAACCTACAACTATTTTATTTACGAAAACTCTTGGAATTGGGCCATTTTCAATCTGGAGGGAGAAAACTTAGTCTATTTAATTAGGTACTAAAAACTCCTAAATACTTATTCGCTTTCTACTTTGATCGTAAGATAATTTTATCACAAAATCGATAAAAAAGGTGGCTCACAAATACATTGGGCCGTTTGACCTTTACAACCTCGTTCTTTTGAAAATTGGGGGGGTGTAGGTCACACCAAACAGCCCAATATTTTTGAAGGCCACTTTTTTCTCGATTTTGTGATCAAATTATCTTACGATCCAAGTTGAAAGCAAATGACTATTTACTAGATTTTAGTACCTAACTAAATAGACAAAGTTTTCCCCCCTCCAGATTGAAAACGCCCCAATTCCAAGAGCTTTCGTAATTAAAATAGTTGTAGATTACGATGAGATGAAACTTTTTACGAAGTCTCAGGCAGATGTTAATAATTCGATAAAAAGGGGTCTGTACCATGGACTATGACCTATCTACCTATTCTAGCCAGAATCGGAGAGTTGAGATTTAGGCTTTGGGTCCTGAAATTTCAATCCACCTGGGCCGGAATGAAAAATCCTTATTGATTAAATTGTATAAATCAAATTTAAGACTCACCTCCTTCTTCAAAGTTTAGTTTTTAAGAAAGAAAAATTGGGTTTTTAATTTGATGCAATATGGCATTAATGACTGAATACGAGTTATTTCTCTTATACCAATAATTTATTATTTATCTTTGATTTTTCAAACCTATATTGATGCCCTTAGTTATTTATTACCCTATTTGACTTGAATAAAAATAGAAATTAAAAAATGTTTTTTTTTTAAAATTGAAATTCAAAATAATTGTAACTTTAAACTCTTGTTTGCAGTTGGCATCGTTAATTCCTATTGGAAAAATAAAATAATTTGGATTATTTCAGCTCAGACAAGTCATTTCATTGACATGTGATTTTGATTGATATTTTCTTCATGTATAGTTATTTGATGATGTGAATGTGATGAATGATGAACTTCTTGTTATTCTGGTTAGATGATGAATGAGAATGATTTTTTCTTTCTAATACAAACCATCATTCGCCTACAACTTACTAAATCCAAATCATAACTGGAAGATTTATAAGAATCTTGTTAAAAAAATTAATATAATTTATTTTATCAAACATTAAAAATTAATTACAAATTAAATGAAAAAATATACATAGATCCTATGAACTATTTTTTTTTTTTTTTTTTTTAGATTTGTCCATTTTTACACTTATCACTCAGTTCCTTCCTGACCTTGGTTTTCTGTTTCTTCTCGGATTCGGAAGTGGCTGCGGAGGAGTTCTCTGCTGCCTTGCACTTTCTCTTGATTCCAGTTGTTGCCTAAGTTTTTCAATTTCCATTTTTCCTGCATTTAACCTGAAAATGAAAAAATATTAATTTTTAAATATTTCAAATAGTTTTTTTAATATTAATATTTCAGAATATAATAATATGTTACTGTTTCGTAAGTTGCTCTATGCTCTTTTGAAGGACTTCTTCTTTTCCCTGTGTTCTAATTTCTTCTGCGACTTCGGCAACATCTAATCTTGTGCTGGATCAAGGAATATTGGGTAAATGGACAATTTTTTTTCTTATCTCTCTTTTTTTTTTTTTACTTTCAAAATCAATATTTATTGGTAGTTTTTCATATCACATTGATTATTTATAACAAACTTAGTTAGTGTTTCTGTGCATTAATTATTATTTGATAAATATGTAGGTTAATTAGTGGTTTATTTATTTATATTTTTTAATAGACTACACAGTTATAAGTTTTATTTATAATTTCAGTAACTCAACCATGCAAGGGTTCCGTTCATTTACATAACTAATATAAAAAAAAAAATCTTTATTTATATAAAAATAAAATTATATCACATGCATGTAATTAACAAACGTTCATAAAACTCAAAGCAAATTATGGCCATATTGAGTGCCCATCTTTGGAATATTTTTTTTTTAATTTTAAATTTTTTTAAATAATGGTTTAAAAATTATATCAACAGTTTTGGTAACAAATATTAATATTATATTATCTATTATTACAAAAAATATATAAAATTCACGAAAATTATTTTTTCATTTTATTTAAACACATATGTTATAAAATAATATACAAATATAGACAAGACTGTAAGGAAAGTTGTGGTAGGTCCTATGAATGGATAAAGGAATATAAGGAAGAAAAATATGTATATCGCATTCGCAAAGCTAAAAACAAAACAAAAAACAATGCAATCAGTCATACACAAGTCATTGGTAATGTTAGTACATATATTTTTAAGTCATGCAATTTTTGTTTTTTATTTAAAGTCAAAAAATAAAATATTATTTACCTGATTGAATTTCGTGAATGTGAAACGTCATTACTATTTTTCTTCTGTGATGAACTCATCCGAGGAGATTGGTTTGATGGTTGGTTTTTCTTTTTCCCCTATAAATAGCTTATATTAGGGATATTATAGCCAAACAAAATAAAATATTTATCATAAACAAAGTTCCAGCAGAATAATGAATCTTTATATGAAAGATTTGAATTTTATTTTAAGTATTTTTCAAAAGAGCTTGTTTTCCCAATTAGGATTGACCACTTTTTCACAACAACACTTTGAAATGTTTTGAAGTGTCTTGTGTACTTATATAATTGGTTAAATTTATTTTTATGCTGTTTCTTGAGGTAAACTTTTTTGTTTTCTTTTCTCCCCTGACCTGGCCGTTTCTGGCATACGGGGTTAACTAATGATGAACTGACATAGAGATAAAAAAAATCTGACTTTGAGTCCAGGTACATTTATTGTCAGTTTTCAGAGAAAAAATCCAACCAATTGGTTATTTTTGCCCTTTTAGATTCATGATATTAATAGCTACCGATTTGGAAAGACGGTGTATATGTAACATTCATAACTTATTGAGAGAAGACTATTTTTGATACAAGATTAAGCGTATACTCTCTGAGAGATTTAGTGGGGTACTTCTGAGTGAAAAGAGGAGATGATCTAAGGATGTGAAAGAGAATTCTCTGTGAGAAATCAGTAGAAGAATGGAACTGGGACTTCAAAAGAGGCTCTCCTGAGAAAATACTTTTCGAATAGCAACTATAAGTGACTTAGATCCTCCCAGACTACTGGATTTCATGGATTCTCATGGTCATAGAGGTTTCTGACCTCATTGAGTATGGTATAAATATTGATCCCGTTTGACCAAGTTGTGTGTTATGGAGGGACCATTGGATATATTGAACTAGTTGGTGTGCCGAATGAAGCACGGAGGCAAAGGTTTTGAGGAAGATAGGACTATATTTTCAGACAGAGAGGGAGAGATCTTCCACAGCTAATGGCCAAAGAGAAATACCTGTACTAAAAGACCTTTATGTATGGATAGAAAAAGGGGCGGGGTAGCTGAGCGGACTAATGCATGTGCGTTCAAAGAAAATTTGATAAACAATTACAAGTTTGCATCCTGGTTGCCTGGGAGGATGAAAAAAAAAATAATAAAAAAGAAATGTATGGATATAAAGAAATCGTCACAACAACCCACGTCCCTATGAGATGAAACAGAGGAGCTGAACCAGGGTTGCTGCTAGAATGAGGAAGGAGAAAAGAGAAAAATGCTGAATTCAATGAAATAAATAGAAAAATGAGCCTTATGCACAGCTAAGGAAACAATGTAATAACATCCCACTGCTTCGAATACTCCTATTGTCTAAAGTTAGAGCAGAGATGGAAATAAAAATATAATACTGCTTTCGTATTTGTACATTCCTATTGTAAATAGTAAAATCATCACTTTCTAAAATATCTTGTCAAATATGTCCCCTGAAAAATAGTGAATTGTGGGATTCACCCTTTTTACTGATAAAAACAAAACAATATAGTTAATGTTTGAAAATTTAAACTTACTTCCAGATCTGTCTTTGAATGCTTCTTCATTTTTTCAATTTCCATATAAAGAAGCTCTAAACTTTGCTTCTGACTTTGTTCCATCTTTTCCAAAGCTTCCTCTTTTTCATGGTTCAATCTTTCCCATTGTTGTTCTGATAAATAAAAGAAACAAACAAAAAAAGTATTATGTTAATGTTTATCAAAGTTAAAAATAATGATCATGTTTTAAATTAAAGTCTTACGAAGTTTGTTTTCATATTCACGTTCCAGATGTTCTAGTTTCAATTGAGTCTCATTCTGTAGCTGCTGCTTTACAAGTTCAATTGTAGTTCTTGAATTACCTACTTGTAATTGTAGATTCGCCTCACTCTGTTGAACTCTTCTATCACATTCTTCTTTTAGAGCAGCTGAAATTTAATAAATTATGTATATTTATAAATTTGTTTTATATATTGAATAGCTTATTGTAAATTTAATCAAGTGTGTAACGGCTTACCCATTTCTTTTTCATGTTGTTCTTGAATTTTTTCAATTTTTTCTTGATAGCTCATGTCTAACTTGTCCATTTTTCTTCTTAAATCAAAGATTTCTCTATCTGCGTTTGTTTGTATTTTATCAAAGTCAATCTTCTTTAAGTCTTCCATTTCACTAATTTTCTTCTTGTAGTTTTCAATCTAAAGATTTAAAAACAAAAATCAATTGAGAATAAAAATGAATCGAAATATTTTCATATATTGTTTTAATTTTTTATCTTAATTGTAAGATATAACTCGAAATATGGTGTCTAGGTCTCTTGAGAACACTTCAAGTTCTGAATCTGATACCTATTCCAACGCTTTCCGCTAAACCAATCATATTTTGTTACAGGACTTATCGTTAAATTTTAAACTTTTGATAAAATTTAAATTGAAAATCATTAAGAATATATTTTACCTATATTTATCTTAAATTAGAATATATAGATCTGTACATATATATGAGCATTTATTATTACAATAATTCTATTATTACCTCTTTTTTCAGATCTTGAGATTTCTTCTCCCAGGTTTGTTTCAGCTGAGTAATTTCTTGATCTTTCATTTTCTTAACTAATTCCACAGCTGTATTTTTCTCTTCCCGGAGGGTCCTTTCCGTATCAGTCTTAACTTTGAAATTTTCTCTTCTCAGTCTTTCTTCCCACTAAAAAAAAAAAAAAAAAAAATTATAATTAAAAAATAAATAATATATCAACTAACCAATAAGGTCACTGAATTCACCCCTGTTATTAAACTGCTTATTTAAAAATCTTTTTAAAGCCCAGCAGTAGTCCAGAAACTGCGATAGGAATATCAAAGAAACATAAGCGAAAAGAGCCTGATATTCTATTCTTTGATTGAACATGGAGGGAGATAAAGACTATTTATTTAACGTGTTAAAATATTAATGTATAGACATAGTTACGTGATTTCGGACAGTAGCAGACTCATGATTTAGTTTATTTTTTATAATGGTAGTTACGAAAAAGTGGTAATTAAATGAACAATAATGCCTTTAAGGATATTTTTTTTCTCCTCACTTGTCTTACATTCAGTAGTTTTATAATTTAAAAGGAGGACATATTTTGATAGTTTAAGTAATTAACTCAGAAAAACAAATATGGATCATTTTTTCTATTTTGTAGAAATCTAAACCAAATATATTTCTATTTTTTGGAGGAGAGGAGAGGCTTCACCCCGAAAGGAGGAGAACCAGAAGGTTTTAGACGGAGTTGATATGATTTTTAGAGTTCGGAAAAAAATACCAATTGACTCACTTGCCGGATTTGTCCCCACCTTTACCAGTACCAGTAAGCCCAGTAATACTGTATTGCATTGTATATAATACTGTACTGCATCCTGTTTGGGTATTATTCAAAATTAATCTTAATGGTTTGGAAACAGCATTATAAGATGAATTATGATAGGAAGATTTATCATGAAGAAGAAGAAAACTGCAAAAATTTATGAACTCTTAGGATACAAAAAATAATTAAGGAACTGAAGACATATAAATTTCTATTTTTCGCTTCAATCATCAGAAATCGATGATTTTAATGCATTTAACAAAGTTAGTTTTATCAACACTGACAAAAAAATAAATAAAAATAACCCCATTAAATGTTGTTTTATTAATTTATTATCTTTAATAATGAACCTTTATAATTAGCATAGACAAAAATGTAAGCTCCCTCAAAAATTAAGATATGTGCCAAGATATTTAGAATTGAAAAAATAATGATAATAAAAATCTATGTGTTCTTCTGCTGCTTTTCTCCAAGACTGCTACAGCATGATTTTTGAAATTCTACCATCATTTGGTATCAAAAAGATAGTCATTTAGTGGTTTCATACCCCAATGTCTTGGTTATTTGTGAAGAAGTGTTTTGGAATCTAATGACATTGTGCTATTAAAGTAATGCAAAAATAAGAAAGGAATATTTACAATGTTTACTTTAGGAAAAATATATCAACCAGTAGTTAAATTGACATTGTAAATATAAACAAATAAATAATAAATTTGTAGAAAGTAAAGTATGAAAATTGGATACATACCTCAGTAGCTAATTGGTTTATCTGAATTTCTAATTTTAGTTTTGCTCTCCGGTCTTTATCTATTAGTTCTTCCCTGTGTAGAGCCTTAAAAATTGTAGATGTTTTATATAGTTTTATTGAAATTATTGCTGATAGTTAAAATTTCAAAACGTAAATGTTAGTACTATTCTAAAATAATAAGATTATTTATTTACTTGCAATGTTGCAACATGATTTTTCTCTTTGTCGAGGGAAGCTCTTAAAGTGTGTACTTCTTCTTGAAGTATTTTTTCGCTAACTTGTAGCTCTTCAAGCTTTCTGTTTGTTAACCTCAAGTTTTTCCTTTGTTCAGAGCTTGTTTGCTTCAGTTGGTTTAGCTCAATTTCGCATAGTTTCAAATGTGAAATCTGAAATGTTTTAAATTGTTTTATCATGCCTTATAATATTTTATTTACTATGGGGAAATACCATTTAGAATAAAATATAAGTAAGGCATTTAAGGTTTTGGCCCTCAGAACAAAATAAAAATGATAATAAAATAAATAGATAGAAATAATAATAAATTATATGTTGACTTCCAACAGTAATAAACTTTACAAAATAACAAGAATGTGTGAAATAATAATAATAAAAAATAACAAATAATTAATATAAATATTTACAACTGGATGGATAGGTAATGATAGGAATGATGTAGATAACAGGATTAAAAGATGAGAAGGTTATTGGAGTGATGGATGGAGTAAGGGATGGTGTTCCATAGAGATGAGGATCGGAAAATAAAAAATGTGTCAGAAGCCATGATTTTGCAGGCTGATAAAATTAAATAAATCTTTAGACCGGGAACGGGTGTTACGGCAATGAATAGAGGGTTTGAATTGAAGCTTGGGAATTGATGATGACCTGCGAGATTGAATAATTTGGAAAAGGAAGGGTGTCAGGAAATATTGATGCCGTTAGGAAGGATAAATCTACTTCAGTTGTTAGTAAGATCGATAGACAGAGGTGTTTCTTGGGATCCCAAAGATGAACTATTTGAAATAGTTCATATAATGTTTTAGTTTTGTTTCAAGATATAAGCCGACGGATAGATATATTTCTAATAATATTGTTATTTGAACCTTTCAGTTGACTGAATGACTAATGCCACTTTAAATATTTTCGAGTAGAGTAATTTTAGTGATATTTCTAGTTGGAAAATTTATAATATCTGTACAGACAGTGAGTAAATAGATTCCATAGTAGGTGACTGCAGCTTTGAAATATGGAACTGTGAATAAAGGTATAAATTTTCCAACTAGAAATATCACTAAAATTAATAATAAAAAATGTGGAATTTGGAGTCAGTCATTTTGTCTGTTAGACAATCTCAAAGGCTCATTTAACTGAACCTTAAGTTAATTAAATGTATCTTTGAAATTATATTGTTATTTACATATTTTTTAAATCAAATAAATCATTTCATCTTAAATTTAAATTTTTTTTGTTCTTAAATCTGTCTTTCCCCGTTAAGTTAATATTAGAATATTTTTGTAACATTATTTTTACTATTGTCTGTTTATTTTTAAAAATGTCTGTCAATTTAATATTTGTTGTAATATATATTTTGTTTATCAGTTACCTGTTCAAGATTAGCTTGAGCGGTGGCCAACTTTTCGGCTAACTCTGAGCTCTTCTTATCAGTCACTGTTTCTAAGTCTTGCATTTTCTTTTTACAAGCCTTTTGAACTTCTCTTAATTTCCACTCGAAATCCTCTAGCATTTGAACTTCTCTGCTAGAATTGAGTGTTCTAAGGTTTTCAAATTCCTTCTCATATTTTGACTCCATTTCTTCCTGATCCGTAAGAGCTTTCTCCAAAGCCTAAAAAAAGAAAAATGATCTATAATCTTGGTTATATTATACCTGAGAATAAGCACAGTTATTTGAAGAAAATACAGCAAATTAAACGAGGAATAAAATAAATTGTATTAATAAAGTTATTATGAATATCAATAATTAATTTCATATCAAATTTATTACTTTTTGAATGATCTGATCGTGATATGATATTTAAATAAATATCTATTTACAATTTTTTGGGAACTGTATGGACAGAAAGTGATTGAATAGATAGGATTTAAAGGTGGGGAGTGAAGTTGTAGTAAGAGACGAAGTTCCATAGGGACGATGTCGGATACTAATAAAAAAAACAAAAAAAAACATTAAATGAAATTAAAAATAACCTAAAATCTTGATTATATTATACCTGGAAATAAATACAATTATTTGAAGAAAATATAGCAAATTAAATGAAAAATGAACTGATCATAAATTTGTAAGAAATATCGATAAATAATTTAAGATTCAATTGATTACTTTTTGAATGATCTGGACCTCCATATCTCTGTCGGCTTCTAGTTTCTTATAACTACTTTGTAAGGAACTTAATTCCGACTTCACTTGAGCCAATTCTGCTTCCAATTCCTTTATTCGCCTTTCTGCTTCTTCCAACTTCTTGCTGTTCTTTACCTCTTTTTCTACAACTTTTGTGGCTATAAAAAAGAAAGATTAAAATTAATTTACTGTAATAAAATAAAACCGTTGATATGTTATGGAAGGAGAGGGGGTGGTTATTCTACACTTATAAACAACCTGTAGAATAGTAGAGTAGAGTAGAGATTAGAGTAGAAAACCACTCTAACCAGAGTGGGAAGGATGAGATTCAAGATTCCTTGTGGTAATATCTTAAGTAATTGGAATACTAATCTATCTATCTACGGAGCGCTACAATCCTGGGTGGGTTTTGGCCTCCTCAACGAGCCGCCGCCATTCGGCCCAATTTCGTGCTGCCGCTTTCCAGCGCTGCTCCATCAACCCATCGAAGTCTTGGCCTACCAGGCCGTCGTGTATCGTGAAGGGCGGTGTCCACTACTTTTCTAGGAATTTCTTCCACTTTCATCCTTGCTACATGATCAGCCCAATTGAGCCTCCCCAGTTTTATTAACTTTACAACATCCATATCTCCGTAAAGGTCATAAGGCTTTCTGTTCCTCCTAATCCTCCATTTCTCACTGGGTACTATTCGCCGTAAGATTTTTCTTTCGAAAATCAAAAGATTATTTTGATCACTTCTTGAGATGGTCCAGGATTGGGAAGCATAGGTAAGAACTGGGCGTATAAGAGTCTTGTATATGACTAGTTTAGTGCCTCTGGTAATGGATCTGCTGAAGAGTTTTTAGTATGGCAAAATATGCCCTATTTGCTGCCATCAGCCTTTTCCTTATCCCAGCTGAGACATCGTTTATTGGAGTTACTAGATAATGTAAACTCATTCACCCTTTGGAATGTGTAAGGGCCAACACTCAGTGCCTCTATGGGAATACTAATGGTTGTAGAAAAAATCAGACAACAATGACCACCAAGCCATGAAATTGCCGGAGAAAATATAGAATTATTGTCAGCTTTCCTATACCAAAGAGCTTTAATGATAAATAAATCAGAAGAAGTTAAAAGAAGGATCCACGCAGGAACTAGAGCTTATTTTGCACTTAGGCACATAGTAAAGAGTAACATTATCTCTCGCAAAATTAAAATTCGAATGTATAAAGTCCTGATCAGACCTGTTGTTATGGAGGAGAAACATGGACATTAAATAATAACATACATGACAGGTTCAAAAGGATGATGTTGTCATGGTGTCTATGAGACTGGGACGAGGTGATGTAGGATAAATAAAGAAATTTATGATCTTTATAACAATCTTCGACAGTTAAATGTGATAAGAATGAGTAGGCTGAAATGATATGGCCATTCAACCGAATAAATGAAGACAGACAGATGAAGAAGGTCTACACAGGGATAATCTTCGCCATTAGAGCAAAGGGATGATCAAGGGTACTGTTTAATTTACTATGCCAATCCCTTCCACGGCTGTCAGGGTTATTGAGGTAATAATTATGCTTTTGTAGCTGGTACATTTATTTGAATGTTTTAGGCTGTGTATGAGGTATTTGATCATCATATAATTAAACTATTGTGTTGAACATATTACTATATTTTGTTTCTCTTATAATTTGATATATTGAAGCTGGACCTTTTACAATGAATTGTTAGTGAAATAATGAATTTGGTATGAATATTACAACTATTTTAACTGCGGATTAGGTGGGTGGTGGCTGGAAATGAATTATTTATGTACTTGTATATATTTGTCTCTCCGTTTCCTCTCCTCCCCCCTCCCTCTCCTTGCTAAGCCTCTTTAGGATCTACTCCATCTCTCTTGTGAAAATGTTGTTCAGATCAAATTATGGCTGGCCAGCTCTATCTATCTCTCAAATAGACATGATTCTTGCCGCAGCTCTGCATGTCTCTACTGTCTTTGTTTGCTTCTAAAGCCTGCCAAGAGATGGCAGCAGTGCTGCTTGCTTCTCCACTTGATTCAAATTTAAAGTGGGAACATAGCTGTGTTCCCTTAACAGGTACAATGGGAGAAGAATGTAGGACATGCAAGAGGCGGGAATGGGGATAGTAGAAGACAGAACTCTCTGGCAACAGATGTTAAAGCAGGCTAAAGACCACTTCGGTCTGAAGTACCCGAAGAAGCAGAAGAATAATGGGAATACCCCAGTGTGGCTTGTTGGAGTTGTTTCCAATGAAGAGATTTTGTAAGAAAATTTAGAGAATTAAAGTCAGAGAGTTATAACAAAATTTAAGTTTATGTTAAGAACAATTGAATTTTTATATGAGGTTTATTTCCAAAAATACAGTTACCAAAACTTTTTTTTCTGTAAGTCATGGAGGCATATTTCAACTGTCTTATCAAACATATAATATAAATTTAAATTATTTTAATATTACCTGAAACATTGATCCGCTCCTCTAGTTGCCTATTTGTTTCCTTATATAAATCTAGATCTGCTTCCAGCCGCTTAAACCTTTTCCTCACCATTTCGGATTCATTACAGGCAGCATCTAATTCAACTTGTAAACCTGCATTAATAAAACTTATATTTTATTGAATTATTTTATAATAAATATTATTTGTTTTTCAGCTTCTGGATTCAAAGCACTTAATTCTTTATGCTGAATTTTATTTTATGAAATCTATATAAATAAAATAAAGATTTTGTCTGTACATTTAATAGAATCAACCCGTTTTATGACATCTTTCCATTCCATACATTGCAGACCAAATCCAATTTTAAAAATTTTTTTGTCTGTCTTTATGTCCGCATTGCCACGAAATTTTGTCAGAGGCAAGCTCAGCAATAGCTTATTGTAGACTTTTGAAATTTTGACATTATATTAAGGTTTACTTGACTTAAAACATAGGCTTTAAATGAAAACAAAATATTGAGTATAACCAAAGTTATGTATTCTTGAGTAATTTGTCTAAAGATCTCGGTCAATGTTGATAATAAATGTTAATAATAAACATATGTTTGTAGGTTAAAGAACATCTATATAAATAAAGTAAAGATTTTGTCTGTACATTGAATCGAATCAGCCCGTTTCATGATATCTTACCGTTTCATACACTACAGACACCAAATCCACTTTTAAAACATTTTTTTGTCTGTTTGTATGTCCGCATTGCAACAAAATTTTGTCAGGGGTAAGCTCAGCAATGGCTTATTGTAGACTTTTGAAATTTTGATATTATATTAACGTTTACTTGACTTGAAACATAGGCTTTGAATGAAAACAAAATATTGAATAGAACCAGAGTTTTGAATTCTTGGGTAATTTGTCTAGAGATCCCGGTTAGGTAGTTACTTCGATTCTCATCCCAACCTACTCTACTATAAGCCATATTTAACAGTTGTACTATTCAACTGATGGAAAAAAATATCACAACTTAACGGGAAAAATCCGAAATACCAAACATCTGCAACGTGTTGTCGCTTAAAACGCACTCATTTTTCAACTTTGTCCGATCTTCCCGTTCAAGGTGTCATTCGATTCAACTTCTCAAGCCTAACAAATGTTGTCATATACATTTTTAGGATTAACCAAATAGATTAGCCCGAAATCGGGAGAAAAACTTCTAAAAATTAAAATTACCTCTCCCCCCTCATCCTATGTTATAAAATTAACTTCCTTCCCATCCATAATACAATATCCATCTCAAAAAAAGATTCTGAAATTTTAACTATACATCCGTCAACGACGGGTACATCAGCTAGTTATTTCTAAATAGAACTAAGTGAAACACATGGTATCATCAAATTCTTTAAACAATTCAGAAAAAGATATTTTTATTGACTGTTTTTAAAATTATTATGAAGATAAATCTAGATTTTTTTTATTCAGCTTGCTCACGTTTCAACCCACGCATGTAGGTCATCATCAAGGCGGAAAGCTGAATAAAACCAATCTAGACAGCAAAGTCTGATCATTTATCATCCTCAAATCTTTATACTATTATTTTACAAATAGAGTGGGTCATGAAATTCATTTATTATTTTAACAGCAAGTCAAGATATTTTTTTTATTTAAAGTAAATAAATATTTTAATTAATTAATTAATTAATTGTTTTGATTTTACTTAATCGTTTGTATTAGTATCTGAAACATTTTTCATTTATGAAACATATAAAATTAGTTGTACTTTACAACTATAACATATAGAATTGTAAATACTTGAACTTACGATCAATATTTGATGCTTTCAAGCTGATATCTCGTTGCAAGTCGGCTATTCGATTCTGCATTTCTGCGATATCTATCTTCAATGGGTTTTTGTCATCTTTTAACCTGTAATTAATAATTAATTAATTTTTTTTCGTTTATAAAGATGAATACTTATGATTTGCTATGTAGTGACTATATTTATTAGGAACAATCAATATTCTAGAACTACTATTAGTTAACTCATAATGGTTTGCCAATTTTTAATATTTATTAATATATTTATATTCACTTTTTCATTTTGTTTTAGTTTTTAATTCATACTGAATTTCAGCTAACAATAATTTAAAATTGTTTTAGAACTGAATCCCAAATGTTGTAAAAAAAAAATTGTTTGATTTATTTAGTATAATTCTTTAGAAAAAAAAAAATCAGGTACTTGGACAATATTTGAATTTAACTAAAACAGTTCAAAGTTACTATTAAGTATGCAGGATCAATAATAAATATTTTAAAATGAAGAAATAAAAACATTTAATTTTTTTTCTGATATGAATCTAATTTGTTGAAACGAAAAATAGAAAGGACAGAGGTCAATTACTCCACATGAGCCAAAACTACTTCGTTCAAAGTTAGCCTATAATTAGATCGCGTATTACTCAGGGTGTACAAAATTGAGTCGCAGCCAATACTAGTGGTTCACCATATTGAGACTTATCACCAATCTTTATTTATAAAATTAATTTACTTCTTAATTAAAAAATATAAAAAAAGAAACTTATACAGTACAACCAACCCTGTATTTATCAAACTTGAGGGTATATTGAAAAAAAAATTTAGATAATTGAAAAAAAAATTTAGATAATTGAAAAATTTTGTAGGAAGATTAAATAAGGTCTTCATAATATTTTTTTCATCATTCTTTATTAGTTTGATAGTTTGAGCTTTTGTTGTTCACTTTTCAAAGTTCCTAACTTAGAATGAGGTTAGTTATAATGAGGATGGAAAACAATAAATAAAGACATATTAAATTGATTTGACAAACATCTATGCTGTGGTAAAATCTGTTTGAAACAACCATAAACAAATAGTTAAATAAATAATGTGTAAAAATGAATAATAATGTGAGAAATGTTTACAATAATATGGAAAATAAATTATTAAACAATTAGCAATTTTTTAAATTGGGCAACAAAACCCCAAAAAATTAAGCTAAAAATAATAATAAAAAAATTGTATTGATCCTTCGTACAAAAATTTGCAATAATTGATATTTCCACTCTCAGAAAATTTGAAAATATGCAAATATATTATAATTATTTTGGGACAAATTAGAACTTAATATTTTTTTCACAGGAGTTACTTTTACAATTAAAAATTTACATTCACACATAAATAAAATAAAATACTACAAGAAGTTCCGATTATGGGAAAACATTTCCGAAACATTAATGTGCGATAATATGTGACAAATGTACTAATTAGATGTCACAAAGGAAGTTTTCTTTTATATTACAGTTATTTTTGGAAAAATTATAATCTTATATTTTTTTTAAAGACTTATTTTTTCTTATTTTTATAATTAAAAATTTACACTCGTGAAGCTTTAATTTTAAAAATCTAAAGATTTTTTTTAAATAGAAGTGTTATTTAATGTACAGGAATAGTTTTTTTAAATTGAGGTTTTTAAAATAAAGAAAAAATATATCTTATTATTATATATTTTTTTAATTTGTTGCATTGATACTGAAAAAAATATATAATAAAATAATTTTACTCTGAGGTTTTGACATATTTATATCAATTACAAATGGTGTACATAGTAAGTAAATATAAAATTTCATTCAGAAGTGGTCTTATTTCAAAATTGATAAAAATTGTTACTATAATATTCTTTTTTTATTGGCTTGCCAATCAATATTTTATCTTAAAAACTTAATTAATTTTCTTAAAACAACATTTTTTAAGTATTTGGATGAAAACAGTTTTGAAACGGAATATTTCATAGGAATAGTTAACTATCACCTACTTTTATATCTTGTGAATATGATATAGTTTCTTCATTGGAGCATTCCGTCGTAAAACAAAGTGTTTGATAGTTTTAGTAAATTGAAATTTTATACTGAATTAGATTCTTTACGGCTGATTTCATGAATTTTGTAGAAACTTCTTTACGTTAAAGATTAATGTTTGTATTAAGAAATGTTGTTGGCTGAAGGTAAATAATTTTAACCAATAAACAATTTAACATTGAAAATATCTTTATTTTTTCAGCCACCATATTTTATGGTTGAGTGCTTCATTCAACTATCCATGATTGCAACTGCCTTTTTTATCTTTTATGAGTTCTTTTTTTAACTTTGGAAAAGGTGTGTTTAAATTTATCTGTAATAAATTTTCTGGAAGCATTGGAGTAGTGGCAGACAGCCACAGAATTTATAACTGGGAGATTTACAAAAAGAAAGGCCTCTTTAAAAAAAAGGAGAGAGCACTTATCTTCTAAATTTATTTGTACAGCCTAACATAATGTCCTTGAACTTAAAATATATATTTGAAGATTTTTGGCTGGACAGGCCTTAAAACTTTATTTATTAACATATTATATATTTATTTGGCAGAAAATACATGTTTTTTTCTTTTACTTACAAAATTTTCTTATCCACAATTCCATTTACCTTAACATGGTGCTGCCTTCACCATAAAAGAAACAAAAAACTAAAACTAAACAATAAAAATAAAAGCAAAACAAAATAAAAATATAAAGATAAATCCTGGGTTAGAGTCCCCAGGTCTCTCTAGCATTAAGATTTTCGTAAAAAGCTATGCAGATATTTATACAATAACTTGCTGTGTCATAAATATCATAAATACAAAAAGTTTTTTTTGTTGGTTAAGTAGAACAATAAAAACATTTATTATTATTGTTAGTGTGTAGTCAAATGGTACTAGTTTTCCTTCTTCATTGGGCTGGATTATGTAAATATTTCTCCTTATTCTCCTTAAATTATTTTAATATTCTGAAGATTGAATGTTTATTATAATTATTAAATATATTTTGGAGAATCCAAGGAGTCTAAATTTTTAAACTATTATTTTTTTTACTGAGTATTAGCCTTAATCTAAAAATATAGAAATTTGCATATATTTATTATATTTTTTGAAAAATGTATGTAACTTTAAATTTATGTAATAGAATAGGTTGATTGATGTATTTATCATTTCATAATGTTAAAACTGAACTATTTTATTTTAATGTATACTCAAGAATTCTGCATATTATATTTGTGGAGTACAGAAATGTATGATGATTTGGGTGACAGTGGCTATTTAAACAATTCTTGTAGTTTACAAATAGAACTGCTCCCTGAAGTTAGATCATTAATATCTTTAAATTACACTGCTTTATTTTTGTGTCCAAATCATTCCTACTCTCATCTTAAAAATATATATGAAACGAGAGATAAATTAATTCATGTATTGAAAAATTTGAAAATTTAATAATTTGAGATTTCTGGATATAGATTATCTCTCGATTACACAAAAAAAATTTAGTGACTTTGTCATAATTTATTTTGCATATAAGGCGAGACGGACCGTGACCAAGACACCACACTTCTTATTTCCAGAATTATTTATTTCTTATTATGGTTACAAACAGGCAATAAGAATATTTATTATTATATAATAATATAAAGTGGCAGTTCAATGTGTAATATAGATTTTTAAAGAAATTAAAAATTTGTCCATACTGTGGTTTTGTTCTGTAAATTACTGTTATAGAATTTAAGCAATGTATAGTACAATTAAGTGGACAGTTGTATAATTTGTAAAATGGAGCTTTGTCCGCCATTGTGCAGACCGGGGGGTACCCTCCTAGTTATCAAATAAAAAAGAAAATATCAATGATACAAAAATAATCTAGAGTTTAAGAAAACTAACTTGTAACCTTGACTTCTGTCCAATATAACGTCTGTGAAATGATCTTGGCAGACATAGGAGAAAAAGAATTACTTCTCATGATAATTTATAAGAAGTCGGACAGTTTTAGTGGTGATATAAGAGGAAATAAGATACAGGAAAAAGCAGGAAAATATAAAGTATAGTGTAGAAGTCTATAAGAACTTGAGTTAGTCCTTCATGTTAGAGAATACAATTACTTTCTATTTTGATATAATTATTCTATAATTTAATGTTATTATTTTTGTTTTTAATTATAATTAGATGCAATTTTTTTTTATATATATATCATCAGAAAGTGGTTATACCTTCATGTCTTCATGATCAAAGCATTTAACAATGTAACCAGGTCCCCTGCCTGACCAAGTTTTATTCTTTTTCACTTTCTATATAAATGATATTGCATATATTATATGTTAATTATGTAATGTCTTTAAATATTTTTTTGTATTAATTATAAGGGATAAAGTAAGGTTTCTACAGTGATTTTAATGTTTGATAGGGGTCTTGAAAAATTCATTCTTAGGATCACTAGCAGATTTGGGGCGCTTCAGCCCGAAAGCTTTTATATATATAAAATGATAAATACTTGGGAAGAAAATATATAAAAATTTTATATATTATCTATAATGGAGTATATTTTCAACCATCATAAAAAAAACACTAAATGTGTGTTTAGACATTTCACAAAATATGGGAAACACAGTTATCTAACTAAACTATCAGCAACAATAATGCTAAATCAGACTATTTATTTTTTTTTCTTAATACCAAAAGCAGATGGAAAATATCAAAAACAAGAAACAAGAATACTAACATAGTGAAATAACCATTTATATATTTGTTTGTCTCATAGTTTGTGGAATGTCTAAATGCACCTTAAGAAGAAACACATTGTTGTTTTTCCTCCAAAAAAGCTTTCTGTACATTTCAGAACGTGATTAAAGTAAATTCTCTGATACACTTGGGATTCCATTTACAGTGCGCTCGAAGTGATCCTGAAACCAGCTCGAAACTATCTTGGAGTAACGATTCCGAAGTTCCAAATTGGAACTAGTACCCTATATTATTATTAGTTAAACCATCGGATCCAGGGGAGTAGTGCAGGGTGCTCACCTCTCGACCTCTCTCGGAGGATAGACAAATTTTTATCCTGAAAAAAGTAACTA